TGTTGTCATTTGAATATTAAAACTTTAAATAAATACCATTTTTAATTGTTACTACCATTTGCATTTAACAAAAAAAATTAATTTATTTTATTTATTAAAAAAGAGAGAGCTGTTAGAATTTTATTTAATGAAACTTTTAGTCAGCATTTAAAATTTATTTAATTTAATTAATCCACCGGCAAACATTGATTCTGTATTATTTAATTTATTTTATAACAAAATAATAAAATTAAAAAACAAAAACAAAACAGTGTAAAACTCTGTAATTAAAACTTAAAATTGAAAAAATGAAAGAGATTTCAATTTATTAAATTAATTAAAATATTAAATGAATTCGATATAATTTAGTGAAAACAGATGGTCCAATTAAAAATTAATTATTAAATTAATTATAATATAATAAAATAAATAAATACGCTCTAACCTGTGATAATATAATTATTAAGTTATTTTTAAGAAGAAATCAAAATTTACTTTTCCAAATTCAATAATTAAATTTTTTCAATAATTTACTAATTATTAATTTAATTAAATTAATATTTGTTACGTACCGGTTTTAAATAGAAGTACATACAGAAAATAAGCTTTACTAATTTACTTATTTATCAATTTATAATTTTATATCTGCATTCATTCAATCAAATCAATCAATCAATTCTTTTCATATTCTAACGAAAATTGTTCATTAATAAATAAATAAACTAAATCCTATTTAGTTAGAGCAAAGTAGCCAACGACATACATAAAAATTCGTTGAAATTTGAATGAGTTCAACTATGTGATAATAATCTTTGTATCATTGTACAATTAACATAATATAATTAAAAATATGACGACAGAGTGATCAATTGTTCACTGCCTGTATGCATGCATAACACACAAACACAGCAAACTGTTTATCTCTATTTTATTAACAACAGCATATAATATAACACAATTATATATTAACAACTACTACATACAACAGCACACACAACAGCACAAGAACACAACAACATTTTCAATAACAGCTGTTAGCTCATACACCTAAAACATTGTCAAGTTATTCTTACCTGTGATAGTATAACAAATAATCAAGCGCTAAACTATTAGCGTTACAGGTGAGACTACTATGATTCATTCGCATTCGACCCACGAAAGTTTGAGATTTAATGAATTGTGACAAATCATTGTTTAAATGTTCTAATAGATCTACTGGGACTTTTGAGAGGTAATAAAATTCAATTTCTAAACTATCAAACTTTAAGTCAAGAATGCCGAGATTTTCTGTAGATATAATAGAGGCCCGTTGAGTGTTGAGTATTCTACTGAAAATTCTTCTCCCCCCTTTTTCCCAGCAAATTACAATCTCACCGAAACGAAATTGTGTCTGTTAAAGTTCCGAAAAATTTACCGAATGTCAGCATTACCTATTTACTTCAGTGATTCAGCCAGATGTTGTGTTGTATACATGGATATATGTACCCATGTTTGATAACATAAACCATGAAATTTAAAATTTATTACGTTTATAATTCAGTTTTGAAAATTTTTATAAATTTATTTACTGTTTTTCCTATCAAATTCTATTCACTCCAATTCATTATACTAAAAGCGTTTCATTTTTGTTGTTTTTGAAAACTTTAAGACATGAAAAACATTTCAATAGTTCAGTAATAAATTTGATAATGAACATAAAGATCAGATTAAGCGATCAATCGAACGTTTTTTTGGATAAGAACAAACTTGTTTGATCTAATAATTCAACAGTACATATGTTTCAAATTGTTAATATATAATATCAAAAATAATTTTATCGTGAGGTCTTATTAGTACTTATATCTAGGGTGTGAAGTTTTTGATGGCTCTGCTCTTTAAACATCATCTATTCAATAAAACGGAGCCCAAGTTGCGCTTCTAATGATAACTCAATAGAAGCCTCCACAGGTAACTCAACGGAAGTGCACTACAAATCTACAATAATAATATAATATATATGGAAGTAACTTTCTCTTCAGTAGAAACAAACCAGTAGCCATTGTTCAAACTTTCCTGGTACAATGTTTGGGTGATATAAAAATGCATAAATAAGCAATAAAAAGTTTCTAGTATTAAATATAGTTGACGTTGGACAAAAATTTAAAAATTAAAAAAGGATTAAATATGGTAAAATATGTTGAATAGTTAATATGAGTAAAGAAGCTAACAACAATCAAACAAACGAATGCTTATCCTTTCTTTAACTCATTAGTTTTTCAACATCTAAGTTGATTCATGCGATGCATTGTATTAGATTGTTTATTTGTAAAACGCTTCCAATGAGTTACCTTCGGAGGCGCTAACAGTGCTTCGTTTCGTTTAACAGATGATGTTTATAATGCCATAGAAAACTTCACGACTGGTACAAGTGAGTGAAAAGTTTCAAATCAGCGACAGCGAGTTTTAAATATTGGCTGAAACAACTGAAAATATTTGTACACTGAAATGGGAGGGAAAACTTGCCGCGCAAAATTTTCGTGATTTGTCAAACTAAACAAAAATTTTCAAATTCTTGCAAATGCCCGGTGACACTGTTTGTATCATTCAGAACAAAATTGCAAAATTAAATTTACGTGCAAATAAAGACTGTCTACCAAATTAAGATAACGCCTAATCACCCTTATTTCATGAACATAGCTGATGAAACGGATTTTGAAGAGAACGCTAGACCGGATTTTCCAAAGAAACACCATCGAGGTCAACAACTGGGTCTTTGCCTGTGGCTGCTAAGCCATGTGTTTTTCTTCTTTCTCGTGCCTTTCAAGACATTGGCGACTATCGATCTCTACAAATGCCGATATTTAACACTTTTCACGAATGTAATTCGTTATTGACCGCGATCTCTTCTCCCTGCAATCTTTCCAGCAGTTGTTAAATTTTCCATTCCGAATGATGTGACCAAAAGACTTTAACTGCCCCCGTCGGATTATTTGTAGTGGTTTTCTCTTTTCACAACCGGACTGTTTTAATACATCTTCATCGGAGGTATGAGAGGTCAAACCAATTTTCATAATTCTTTTCAAAAACCACACTCTTGACCTTTATTTCATCATTTTGCGACAGACTGACAAAATTCATACATTTAAGGTCCACTTCACTTTTGATTTTTTTTAACTTTATCCTGATTTTACAAACAACTGTCCCAATCAGCTCCAGGTTAACTTTTGCATTGTAAAAGTTGTTTTTAGTTTATTGAATTTTAACCTGCTGACTTTTACAAGAATTTAAATACCTTGACATTAAGTTGATTTAATAATTTGTTGTGATCAACAAATTTTTGTATTCAAAACGTTGTACTTCGCGTTAAATAGATAGGTTAACATTTATTTTTCATTTATCTCTTTACGAATATATTTAACAACGCGGTTTTTGTTGAATAAATAAAACCTGTTTGTAGTTGAAAAAATCAGACAATTAAGAAAATGTAATAAATGTAGGACTGGAAACTGGCTTTGAAGTGCTTCCAACATTCGGTGACAAACAAGTAGAGTTTTAACAGAGCAGATGCAATCGTCATTTTTGTAATCCATGCTTGATTGAGTGTTTTTGTTGGTCATAATTTGGATGAATAGTAGCAGTGTTTGTAACAATTCTTTGAAGACGAACGTTAGTATTGAGTCTACGTTACACATGATTTTTAAGTGATGGCTGAATACAATTTTTAGTCTAACGTAGTGGTATTTTAGCAGCCAAAACAAGGATTTACTGATTGAACCTCAGGAACTTTTTTATTACCAAAAACATTATGTTTAACTACATGTTAAATAACGTTGAAAGAAAGTCATTGATTGATATAGAACCTAATTGCTGAATTACTTGAATTGCTTGATTCAAGTCAAAAGAAAAAAGTTAACAAACAATGCCATACTGTTTAATTGAAAAATTGTATAATAAAAAAAATTAATTCCTAATAAATGAAAATTAAAAAGTAATGACCCACAATGCAAAATGTTGAAACGACAAATAGAAGAAGAGCAATTTCAGTTCATTTCTAACTAAAAATTGCCCATAAAAATTAAATAAACATCTCCATTTCATAATACATATTTATATTGTTAAATGTAAATCGGTGGATAAGGAATTTGTTGTCACATCCATTACCTACCTTGGCTGGTTGGGAAGGAGGCATTTCCTACCCTATATTGGGTGATTGGGAAGGAGGCATTCCCATATTTCCTCCATCTCTACAACAATTTTTAAACTTACCAAAAAAAACTATCGTTGCTGCGCCCAAACATTTTTGTTCACTTCAATGTTGTGTGGCGTTAATTTTTAAGCTGGTGAAGTTGTCCTTACTTTAAATGAAAAAAGATATTTTGAAAAAGAAAAACAAATTAATGGTTATTTTCTAATATATCTGGAATTTTTGCCAACCGCTTTTAAATGTTTATAAATATATAATGTAAACCACGTAAATGGAAATTTGTACAACAAGATTGGTTACTATAATTTCAACAGGTTAATTTAAATGACACGCTTTATTAAATGAAAACAAGTATATTAGTCTAGTGTTTAAATAAAGTTCATATCTCATCAATATTTGGAGCCAATGATCGAAAAAATGAAGCAAAACTGAAATCGGACAGATAATAATGATGAAGTTTTGTGATTTTGTTTTGTCGAAATCAGTCTTCGGTAAAATTTAACTTGTTGTAATTTGTTAAATTTTTAAATGTCAAACACCGTACAAAGATTATATTCGAAATAAAAATGAAAATTTTCAAATATAATAACTGAAATAAAATGCGATTAAAAATTATGGCAGTCCAAAATAATACTTAAAACGAACTTGAAATTTTCCAATTGTGACGTTCATTGATTAATATGTCATCATATCGTACCGGTTGATATTTGTGATATTTGAATTAAATTAACGACAAATCAAATGTTGAAAATCTGCGGGTGCGATAGAATTGATTAAACGACGTGGCAACTGATATAAATGGGAGCGCGAACGTGTGTGGATGATTACAAAAGAAAACATGGGGCTCTTACTCGCCATCGTCTTTCTTTCAAACATCATCTTAGCCGTCGACGGTTAGACTTATTAAGATTTCAGAATTGATTTAATACAAATTAATAAAAAGTTAAACATGCATTTAATAAATTGCATTAAATTACTTAAATTTCGTTGATGCAGGGCAAATTTGTTTCTGTGGAAGTAAGTTTACTGTTTCGAATTTTTAAGATAGATTTTCACATGATGCATATTTTAAAAGTTTAAGAAATAAATTTTTAAAAATTGGATGGATGTCGAAATGCATAAAACTGATAGTTTTAATAAATTATGTCCATTACTTATCGAACAACGTACTGACTGATTGATTAATTAATTAATTAACTTTACAACAACAGACTGCCAGCCAGGATTCCTGAACATAGGAGGCATATGCTACCAATTTGTTACCACTCCGAAGCCGTGGAGCGACGCTTCGAAACACTGCCACAGCATGGGAGCCAACCTCGTCTCCATAGACAACACCTTTGATTCCTTTAACTTGTTCGAGGCCGTCTCCCTTCTGAAAGGTTATCATTTAAAAAGCGAATGTTTGCTACCTTATGTAAGAAGACAGGAAAGCACGTACAGAACAAATAAGCACACAAACCTTTAAGCAAAATGGAACACGTACATTAGTAGTTCAGTTATTCAGTAGGGTATGCTTTCTTATATAGTGTGGCACTAGAAAAGAGGCTATATTACAAATACAAACAAAACGTTATCGTCATTAAAGAGATGTTCATTCATGAAATTCTTGTTAATAAACTGAACAGATGCAACCAATTGCAAGAAGCAGAGAAATAATATTGAATTCTGGTCAGCCGGTTTCATAACAAAAAGTTAATATTTTAAATAATTACCTCAATAATGATAATAATGGAAATTTAATCACTAACACGACCAATTATTCAATTTTAGTCGATGGTCCAATAAACCCAAAAGCATTCAGCTGGAAAGTTTCTGGAGCGTTCTCGGTTTACGATAAGGTCAAATCAACAATCCAACACTTCGACCCTAGTTCATCTTGCCTCTGCGACGGACTGACCTACATTACCTACCCGATTCTTGATGTTTCTATAGAATGGTTTACCGGTTTTCCGGTAAACACTGCGACCAATACAGCTTTAGTTCTGAGCGCGATGAATAGAACAATGAAGATCCTCAATGATAATCCTACAACCCCATTCTGTTACATCTGCGAGAAGAATGTTGTGCCACGTTAACTGTCGTTCTTACATTTTATTACTGAGAAATGAATGATTAATTATATTTTAATAAATAAATGATATTCATTGCATTTGGTTTTGATGATAATAAAAATGAAAAAAATCATGAAAACTACTGCTTGGTTTGAGCCTTCTGCCGTTGAACATGCTGTGAAAGGATAAATTGTAGTTATTACAATGCAACATTCGGTGCGGTGGTATTATAAATTTTAAAACAAAACATAAATGTAAATCGTTATTGTTTACAAAACTGCTCGCTTAAACATTTTAAAGTTTTTAAATTATTTAGATTATCTAAGCTGCGATAACAAGTAGCAGTAGCAGAATAAGTGCATGACAAGTTAGCATTTCAATGGTAATCGGATCAAACTTCAGCGTTATTTTTAATGAACGAATTTAAGTTGGGCTTTTTGATTAGTCGAATCGACTCGTAAGCAGTCTCTGATTAAATAAATACACCTCCACAAAAGTCAGTCAAAATTATTGAATGAAAGTTTCTGAAAATTTCTGAAGAACAAAGAACTAAAAAACAAAAAAGTAATAAATAACGCAAAAATTATCTAGTCATCCATTATTTAGTTATAACCTGAAATTCGAATTTACAACTCAAACTCAACTCTGGGATTGTTGGAATTTTTTCAAATTTGGTGATTAAGAAAATAAAAAAAATCTTGTAATTAGTTCATGATACAAGGTGCAACAATAACAAAAAACAAAATTCGCGAAATACTAAATTATGGTTATTATATGTAATGAGGAATTAGCAGTGAGCGGGGTTAAATTTAGCACCTTGGAAAATTTTATTGATCGTGAAAAAATCACTGAGCTCTTTGATTCTGTGGAATAAGCTACAGAATTCGTGGCGTTACATGTTGCAAAATGTGAGCAGAATTTATTTTCGACCTCCTTATAATCTGGGTGATTGCTTTGGAAGTCAGCTATTTGGTCAACCACTTTGGACAAAAACTCAGGCCTATTTTTCAAGCCATGGCAGGCAACCTCAATATTTTATAATCTTTATTTGTACCATGGATATTTGTACCTTTTGTTTTGAGCACAGCTGTTTGTTTAAATAAAAGAATGTCTGGACCTAAAAAAATGTAAAATAAAATAGGTTATGGGTGAACATGGAGATCGCAATTCTTTTTTTAGATATATTCAAATGAAAACATTGCGCTTCAGATGCGATACGCAGAAACAAACGCTGTAAATGGTTCTGCAGAGCGGTAATTTTCTTGTTTGAAACGCTTTAAAAATTTCTTTTGTCCCACCAGGATGAAAAAAAGTTTATTTTTTTTGCAATCATTAGTGATATCTATAAATTGGGCTGCATGATGGCCTAGTGGATCAGGTCGCCTGGTGCTATACCGCAGTGCATGCAGTGACCATGGTTCGATTCTAACATAATAAGTAAAAGATTCCCGCCTATAATATTATGCTTCGTGTGATGCGTTGTCTAGCTCGATGCGTATGATGCGTTGTTTGTGTGTTGTTGTACCCTCTGAACCTATGGAGGGTGTAATAAAGACCTTTAACCTTTAACTGATTACTCTATATCGCTCTACTATGGTCTTGATTCCAACATAAACTGAAGCTTCTAACTGGATTGCTTGTTTATTCGCACATGCCCTTATCTTTTTTCATATATATTAATCACTAATTATAATTAATAAAAATATAAATATATATATACATATTTACACATATATATTTACATATATATATATATATATATATATATATATATATATATATATATATATATATATATATATATATATATATATATATATATATATATATATATATATATATATATATATATATATATATATATATATATATATATATATATACATATATATCCATATCTAGTGATTTGGACACGCTCCCGATAAAATATGGAATAAACTCAAAAAGTTGTCCAATGACGAATAAATCAATCTAACTTTTTCAGAATGAATTATGCCCAGGACAAGCCCAGGACGCGTTTTCAAAAAATCTAGAAATTAAACCGATAATAAGTCTGCATTTTACCGTTGGCTGGCATTCGTAAATGGCGGCCTTAATAATAATTATTACGTTTTTACCTGTTGGCACTAGTACGTTTTAACAAATTTAAAATTTTGAAATTTTAATTAATTAAAATTTTATGTTAAAGTTCACTGCAGTTCGAAATATATGGCGTTAAAATTACCACAAAATTTAAATAATAATCAACTGATTGATAATTATAACAATTTGACTGATCCAATAAAAACTTCATCAAAGGTAAAAATTTTAATTGTTTTTGCAATGTTTATTTTATTTAGTATTTATAATTGATATCAGCTAAGATATAGAAGTTTTTTCGGGTTTTGTGAAGTTTGTATTTTATTAGCAAAAACTGCAAATTCAATTTAAAAATTATTATTATTTCTTTCCTTCCTTCCTGTCAATTAATATTTAATAATAATTTTAAATAATATTGAATATTATTATTAATTGAATTGCATTTATTCAAATTAGCCAATTGATTTGCTGACAGCGTTTTCCTCATCTGTCATCTTCATTTTCATCTTATTTTTAATTTTTTTAATAAATTTCAAGCACCATAACAATATGATTTGATGCTCATCATAATTATATGCTCATTCTTATTCTTATCATAGCTTATTCATCTAACTAATCAGCAGTCAGTTCGTCTGCTTGCTTGATCAGGTCACCACCATAATTAGGCATCTTCTTTCAGTATTTGAGAACAAAGTTTAGTTTAGTTATAGTGCAGAATCATAGTTATGTCTTAAATATAAATAAATATTATATTATATATTTACTAGGTGTCATAAAAAATACATTATACATTTACCTTAATCATAATGGTACACACTGTACATATAGATAGACTTATACATACATACACAGATTATACAGTTTGAATATTTGTGGTGTGGACTTAAAATGTTTCATGTTTTTGATGTGTTGTTTAAAAAATAGGGAAATGCTAGCAACTGTCACTTCATTGCTTTTTTTTGTCACCATTGTTAAAATCTAGATAATTAAGTAAATTTGAAATGAATTTTTGTTGTCTGCACTGTTTGAATCAAAATAGACTTTAGTTTGGAAGCAGATAATGGAAAAAGTTGAAAAATGTCTATTGTAAATAATTTTAGATTTTTTAATAATAAAATTATAATAAATATCAAGTTTTTTTTTTGTTTGAATTGGTCATATATTTTTTGGAGGTGCCCAGACACCTCAGCATACAAGACATTTCATCATTTTAGCAATTAATCATTGCACATTTCATCATTGGAGCTATTCATCATTATAGTATTCTATCACCATAATGTTTCATTATTTATGTGATCTTAAGATTACAAAATCTTATGTGATCATATCATAATTTGTAGAAGAAAAATTCTGTTTTAGGATAATAAATAAATTAAATAAAGTCAAGAAAAAATAAAAAAACAAAAAGTTTAAAAAATGAAAATGTCATCAAATTTCATAATTTATAGAAGAAATATTATTAAACAGAAACAGAAAAATAAATAAATGTATCCATATTGAATATAAATAAGTAAACTTTACCATTATATTGTCATATTTTTAAGATTGAATATTATTTTTTTCATAAGATCATCCACACACTAAAAAATAAAACTAAAAATTAGTTTCAAAAATAAAATATGCATGGATTTTCTACCATGTATGGTTTAAATGCATTTTACGCAATGATGAAATGTTATGGTGATGGAATACTATAATGATGAATCGATATAATGTTGAAATGGGCAATGGTGAATTGCTATAATGATGAAATGTTGCAATGATGAATTGAAATGTCTTTTATGATGAGAAGTCCGACTGGTTTTTTGGGACACCTTAGTATAATATTTATAAATTTTTCATGTTCATTTTATTAATTATATATGGCTAATCATTTTGCAAACAGTGATCATAATATGGTTTGAGTCTAGGTAAAATTGATTTGGTTTTAGTGAGATTTTAATGAGATTATTAAATTATTGAATTAATTTGATAGATGGTGATGTTAATGAATGTTGAATTCAATTGAAACCAGGCAGACAACTCAAGTTTTTTGAAGGCAGTTCGAAGCGGAGACACAGATGCCGTGGTTCGCTTTCTTGATTCTGGAAAAGTTGATGTCCACGTCTGCAACAGTGTTAGTAGTAATCTCCTATATACTTTTCTTTGTAGTTGTTCATTTCAGTTCTCTCAGTTTTTTATTTACTGATTTTAAATGCTTGTCTATTAAGATCCAAGTGATTTTTTTTAGTTATTATTTATATTTCATTATGTTTAATTGTTCAATTATCATTTAAATAATTCCGTACATGACAAAGGTGCTTTAAATTATTGTTAATCATTTGAACAGAATGGATTAAACGCATTACATTTGGCTGCTAAGGATGGCTATGTTGATATTGTCAATGAATTGATAAGAAGAAAATGTGTGGTGGACTCTAAATCTAAGGTTGGTTGATGAATTCACATTAATTCATTATTTTTCACTGTTAGGTTATATTTATTTACTCTATTAATTTCTAGAAAATTCTATTTTGCTTATCATAAAGTAAATCTTTCTAGAAATAGTTGCCTATATTTTTTTTATGGTAATGCAAACACGCATCATCAATTGATTAAATAACTTTCTTTTATTTTTATATCTGATTTGCACTTGATAATTGTATAGGTTAGATTGGTGTTCATTCATTTGCTCTGTGCACACTGTTTATTTTCTCATGCTCCATATACACACATATGTATATGCAGATATATATATATATATATATATATATATATATACATATATATATATATATACATATATACATACATTCATTATATTCATATCTATTTATATTATATGTTTATATATATACATGAATTGTAATTGTATGGGAGTATAAATATATTACATATTGTATTCATATTATACAATGCATATAATAATTTCTATAATGTATATACATATGTGTATGTGTTGTATTTGTATGTATGTTATGGACATGTATGAATAAAAAGAAGTATGCAGTGATCAATCAATTACTTGAACAATTTTTTTGTTTGCTTTTTGCAGTTTTGTTTCCATTTTGAATATCAATACTTTGCATGAGATGGAATTTTTTATATTTATTTTCATTCGACATTCCCACAATCACTCATTCCAGATTGCAGTGTATAAATAAGTAATGTATATTTTTACAGAGGTGCATAATTTCAGTAACATGAAACCATATAAGCCTTGGTTATGTTAATATTGTTCAGAATTTATGCAAGTATGTGTAAACACATGTGAGTATTTCTTTATATACACATTTGAATGCTTATATTCTTTAAAATGTGAGAAGGGAATATGCGTACATTTAAGCATGTGTTACTATCAAAGGGTGTTGTATAAAGTTGAAAGTACATTATTTGAGTTTTAAAAGTTTATGTTTGTGTTTTTTGTAGACTTAATAATAAACATTTATTATTATTTAATTTAACAGATAATGTTGAAATACATTTTCTATTTTTCCTTTATTATTTGAAGCTATTTATAAGTTATGAATAAATTAATTGTAAATCTTGTACGAATTCAGGGTGTGGCGATGTTGATGCTGATAATAATAATGATGAAGAAGGTGACGATGAAGGTGATGATGATGGCCACCTGGATGACCATGATTAATGTTACTGATTAACTGATTATCAAGATGATGATTAAATAAATGGTCAGAACAGAACGAAAATATTCTTCCAATTTTTATATTATTTTTGAATGCTACTATGCACTAAACCAGGGGTGGGTAAACTATGTGGCCCGCTGATGAATTTATGAGAAAATGCATCTGAATGGATAATTGAATCCATTATAAACAATATTTTCATATATGTGTATTGATTTAGCTGTGTGTGTATGTATTGTATGTATGTATGCCCAATTGTTTAACCGTGCACAACTGATTGTGAATCCACTGAAGCATTACATGAATAATTGAAAATAGATTTTCGGTTGTTCAGTCTGATGGCTGGTTAATGTTTCATCCTGTTATGTTTTTGACATGTGTGCTGTAGCATTCTCTTGAAATCAGTGTACAAATTTCATTGCATTGAAATTGTACTGTCATCTGCTTTTTTGTTGTGTTAGCGTCATATGTATTGTTTCTTATTGTATGTTTTATCTTTTTTTTTCTTATTTGAGCTATTGGATCATGCTGTGTTGTGTTGTAGTGCGGTTAAAATGTGTTTTAAATGAGTTGTTAATTTGTGTAGCATGATTCTTTTGTGTTTGCATGATAAGTTAACATTTTTGTACTTCTATTTACATTTGATATATGGTGTTTCAGTCTGTTGCGGTTTAAAATCAAAATTTTATGCAAATTTATTGCAGCTTTTATATTTGTTTGTGCCATTAAAGATTTTTTCAAAAACTTCTACTCTTAAATTCATAATAGCTTTTTTTGAATAGCTCAGTATTAGAAACAAAGATTTCTAAGGACAAAACTGTTTTCTTAAGATATTTTTAAGATATGATCTTATATGGTGTTAATTTTTATTCTTGTCTGAAAATACTTGTGCAATGAATAAGCTTCCATTTGGCATATTTTATTTTTTATCATGAACTTTTCAGATCAGATTGTGCTGATATATTTTTATTCCATATGTCTGGTAGAACTTCAACTAAAGATTTTTGATAAAAAATAGTTAAATTAAATTAATAATAATAATATAAAATTTTATAAAATTGGTTTATTAAATAACGAAATGATTATTAATAATTTTGGAAATGTATATTATATTTCGACACCTAATTTTTAATTGTGCACCTGACAGAAAGGAAACACAGCTCTGCATGTGGCTTCATTGGCTGGTCAGTTGGAAGTTGTCATGCTGCTTATCGATCATGGTGCTGATGTTAACATTCAATCACAGGTTGGTTGGCTGGTTTTCTGATTGGTCTGTTGAGTGGTTTGTTGGTTCTTTGGTTGAAAGTTTGTTGGTTGTTTGTTATGTATATCTCACTACACTGAATCAGCTGTATATAGATAGATACACTATAACAGGGGTGGGAAACTTTTTGCTGTGAGGACCGCATTTAGAAATATTTTACCTTTGAAAAGGCCGCATATGTACTTTAATGGCAAATTTTTATACCCGGAGAGAATTTTTTTAAGATTTGTCACTCTTTTTTTTGGTCATAATGTCTGGTCCACAACTTTTTTTTGGCAAACAAGACCTCGAGGGCCGTATTTTGCCCACCCCTACACTATAACTTTGCTTTTTGTAGAACTTTGTTTGACTTGTTTTACCATTACCATTCCACTTTTTTGTATTTTATATTGGCTAATTGTTTGAAATTGTGAGTTAGTTTTTAATTTCACTTACTAGATTATATTTGCTCGTTTCAATGAATCATTGATTAGATATGAGAGTATTCAGCCTAACAAATGAGTTTTATAGATGACTGGTCTATTTAGTGGATGTCTTCTGATAGTTTATATGATTGAAATATTGTATAAATATTCAATGGTTTTACTAATTTTCTTTCTGCCTCTCTGCCAAGCAAGTTCATTCATTCACATTACAAACTGATCCTATCTTATCATATAATTCATTTCAATAACACATATTGATAATGTTGAACATTAAAATAGCAACAATGATTAATAAATAGATGATAACCTGAGGTACATTTACACTCACACATACAACTATGTTACATTATTATGAAAACAGAACAGTCTGTTGCAAGCTAGGTTGCATCGTGACATATGTTATGAAGGCCATAAAACAGATTTTTTTTTAAAGCACAAGTGCTTCATATAATAGTTACCATGTCCTTGTCATTTAGATGGATTCACCTCAATACATCATTTATTAATCACTAGCAATCTTTACTCTTTTCTGTATCTTATGTTGAGTGATAAATAATTTTTAGATTCAATTAATGTTTTTTTTTTTGTAGTTTTAGTTTTTTTTCTTCACAGGATATTAATATTCAAATGACGTTTAAATTATTTTTCATGTTCTGCCTACATGCTTCAACCAGGCCTGTGCTATTGAATTATTAGCTAAAATTGTACTCTCATTAATTCTCGTTAGCTGCTGTTTATATTAGTATTCTATATCTGTTTGAATAGAATTCAGTTTAAATCTCTATCAATATCGAAATACAAAAATTCGTTGGTATCATTAGAATTTTTCTTTTCTAGTAACTCAATGGTCTCGTCATTCTGGAAAAAGATATTTTTTGTGTGTGGATGTATCTTCAAATCACTGCAGTGCATGGGATGTGTTGTGTTTTCTCAAAGCATACTACCACAGTGAGTGAGGTTTAGGGACAGGAGAATAATGTGTATGGATTGATTCACAGCATACAAATATAGAATCATGCTTTAAGGGAAGTATGCATTAAACTGTCAATCATTTGAATTTCATCAATTCTTATCCATTATGTTTTGGAAAAATTGATCAATAGTAGTGGTGATGATAATGATGAGGATGACGATGACGAGGATGATGACGTTTATGATAGTGGGGAGATGAAAAATGATGATGATGATGATTGTAATCTTCATTTTACCAATTATGGTCATTCTCTTTTGATAATGATATAAATGATGATAATTTCATTTCATTAATGATGATCATTATCCTTTCACCATTATCAGAATGATGAAAAGTTGTTATCATTTGATCCTTGTGCAAAATAAATGAACACATTCTGGGTTGTTAAATGGCTTTGAGTAGAAAACATGTTAGAAATGAAGAATTTTCTTCCAGCACATATCAGCTGACAAATGAGCAGGATGTATGTTCTGTTGAATTGATTATCCATTATTTATCCACAATTTTAACGGTTTTTCATATTTATTATTTTTTATTTTAATGTGTGAATTTTTTTCATTGAAATTTTTTCTGTTTTTCTATTTTAATTTACTGCTCCATCTTTCTTTAATATATTACTTTGCTACATTTTTTATTTTATTTTCTTTTTTTTAAGATTTTTTCATATCTTCCTTTTACTCTTTCCAATCTACAAATAACCAAAAGAATTGGATTTATCATTAATTTATTTTGTAGAAAAAAAACAGCAGAAAGAAAAACAGAACTAAAACTCAAATGCAAAAAACATATATCGAGTAATATGTAGAACAGATTGAGCTGCGTTGTATGTCTATGTACACTGACCTTAAATGTTTGTGCAGCACAAGTGCTTAAATACCTCACTATTGCATTCATTTGTATGTAATGTGTGTACACAGTACATACCTAGGCATACAGATTGGCATACAATTGTTTACATTTGCATACAATTCATTCATTCAGCCCAATGGCATAGATAGAGTTGATGACCACTGGCTGGTATATTCTTGTAGAAATTCATGATATATACAAGTGCTTCAATGTAGACAATTTCAATCTTGGGAATTTCTAATGCATGGCTGTCTTGTTGTATAATATGTGATTTGTGATGTGTGATGATATATAAATAGGTGAGTTGGGAGACAGTGCGAGTTATTATTGCTTAGGATATGTTGAATGAATGGACTATTTGTCATTTAATGATGTTTATCATCGTTTGCGAAAGTTTTTCATTTTATTGTTCATTTTGTCATTGATTGCCTGTTATTTGGGAATGCATTTATCACACGTTGGTAGATTACGCATTTTTCATGTTTGCTAGTTAATCGTTTGCTTGTACATGTACGTACATGAATTCTAAATTCCTATTTTGGATGTTTTAATATTTTTCTATGAGTTTCAATGTTTGAATGTCAGTTTATTAAAATTTAAACTTGCACAATGCTAGCACAATTTCAGCATTTGTGGCTATGCGCACATTTTACCTAGGTACACACGAACACATTACCATAACACATTCAAGCCTTCATTCTCACATACACGTATAGCAAGTAAATCCAAATTAAAAATTACTTGCTTTATTTCTGTTTGGACAGATAGAAATGAATTTAAGAATGAACTAATTCTAATTAGATTTGACATGGAGTTTCAAAATTAAATTTACTACCATTTTTACTAGTCAGCTATCTTATCTAATTTTAACATTTGTTAAACATGTTTCCATGGATTTCACAGACAAGAATGTATGTTTGCAAAAAATTCGTGTAACATGCATATGCAACACAATACAGTCACTCCTAATCATGCATAAATGCACACACACACACATCAATAAACACACTACATTGATATGCACACGACCACCACTACAATTGAAACAGGCTGGCTTCACTCCTCTGTACATGGCTGCCCAGGAGAACCATGCTGACGTTGTGAGGTACTTACTGGATCGAGGTGCCAATCCTGCTATAGCCACTGAGGTTTGTCTTGCTGTAGTCTGGCGGTTGTCCTCGTACTTTGTTATTTCGTTTGTGTTTGTTGGGGACTCTAATTAACTATGCATGCAGTTTGAGATGATGCTCTGATAGAAAATGAAAATAGGATTGAATGTGAAATGAATACACAATTCGATGGTTGTTAAAATATGAAAGAATGAAATAAAAACCAAAAATAGATCATTGGTCAGTAATTGTGCTGTGCGTGGTGTTAAGGTTTGCTAATGCATGTCATGTTTGATGTGTGAATGTTGTAATGTATTCATCTATGTCTATCTGGTATGACCTGGTAATGTTAAAATGTCTATTTATGTGTTTGTCTGTGTTGGTGTGCTTGTAATCTCTAAACTGTTGACGTGATTGTGTTAATGTTTGTGGTTGTGTTAAGGTTTGTGACTCATTGATGTTTTTTATGTGTTAATGTATGTGATGTTAATGTATAGAATGCGATGAATTGTGAGGATTGTATGATGATGAAAAAAAAATCACCAAAACATGAATGGGCTGGTTGACAAAACTGTCAGCTCATTTAAATTTGTTTATTTATCATGTATATATCTTGATGATTTGTTGCTATTTAATTTTATGTCTCATACAAAAATGACATGGGATATATCTAAATTTGTTATTTATAATCATGTGTTTGTCGGTGTTCTTCAAATGATCTGCTGTTTGGAATAGTAATCTTCAATGTTCAAAAATACAAAAATGTCTTGCATTTATTTTGACTGGGTCGGGTCCGCATATTTGAATTATGAATTTGATTGAAATAAAAGTTTGCTCAACTTTAATTAAATTCTCTCACCTCAAATTAGATCATAATTGTTGTTTGTGCATGTTTTTTTGTTAATTTTAAATTCTCTATGGGCTGTATTAAATTTCATACTTGCTGTTTTATGGTAATTTTCATTTTAAATTACTGCTGTAGTGCGTTAATCAATTAGTTATTAATACACCGTAATGCAATGCAGTACAATGCAATGATGTAGCACTGTGATATAATGCAACCCTAGGACAACTACACTCCAATGGCGGTGGCTGTACAGCAGAACAACCACGAGGTGGTCGACATCCTGACAGAACATGAGCAGAAGGGGAAGACCAAGTTGTCGCCTCTGCATCTTGCTGCCAAGAAAAATGACGTACACGCTGTTGTCATGCTGCTGCAAAGTGAACTTGATCCAAGGATGGTCAGTTTGTTAATTCATTTATCTGATAGCTGAATGATTTGTTGGTTGGTTGATTGGTTGATTGATTGGTTGGCTGGTTGGTTGTTTGGTCATTTGGTTGATTGATGATTGGTGTTTTGATAGTAAATGAAGCGTTTTCTTTTGTTATACCTAAATGTTTATTAAACTTGAATGTGTAAGCAAAACTTGTTCATCATTTTATTTAATTGGGCGTTGGTTGGATATGTTCAGTTTTTGTTGGGTGTAATAAAAAAAAAATTATTTTCAAAAGATTTCAAAAAATTTTTTATGACTGATTAGATTTTTTTTCTCTCATGTAATAATTTTGGTTGTGAATTTTTTTCATCACTGCTACCATCCTTTTTATCATAATTGCCAGAGTTAAAAAGAAATTATTTTTTTGATGCTTACTAAGAGATTTTTTCATATTTTTTTAAAGTTAACTAGCATAACATTATCTACTAAGTAATTCTAGTATTTACATTATCAATCATTCAAGAGTGGCACTTTGATATATTTTTTTAGTTTTTTTTTCTGTTTGCAGTTATGTGTATAGATAAAATGTTAAACATTTAGAAGATTTATCAACACATGTCTTTGCTTTTGTTTTTGCATAGTTTTGAGTGATTCATCTTATTCTTTATGTTCATTCACCATGGTTCATTTCAATGTTATTTTGATGGCTCATCTCAAATTAGGAAGTCATTGTAAATGCATTAATTAGTTTGTTGTATTGAAGAATAAGTGCCAACACACATCAGTGGATGTTCAACTTGAATGAAGGTTTATTTATTACATTCAGAATATTATAATTTTCTTTCACATGTTTTCTTCATAATGAAGATAGTTTTAATGGTCAATTTTATCCTTAGATATGCTCTCCACATGACCATGCAACTCATTCTCACACATACACATATATTTGAATCCCCATAAGCTTGCTGGTTTAGTTTGAGCTTATGAAATAAACATTCATTATACTCAATGCCTTTCACAAAAGATTGAGCATGAGACAAATTTCATTGTAAATATGAAAAACAAGTAATTTATTACTGTTACTTTAAATTTATTGTTATTATTGTTCATGGTTGTATTTATTATTATTATTATTACTACCATTGTTGTCGTTGTTATTATTATTTTTTGTTATTAAAAAATTATTTTTATGGTCATTTTATGCAAAGTATTACATAAAAAACATCTGCTTTTTGAGCCAAATGAAGTCTAACCACGGTTACCATATTATTTTTAAATTCAATTTCTCTGGTATGATGCATGTTTCACTCGCACCCGATGCCCTTCATAATGAACAGAAACAAATGCAAATAATTGTGTTGTTTATTTTTCTGCATGTCTCCTTTCCTAATAATAACATTAAACGTTGGGATTTTTATCTGGTTATAATATTTTTGAAAACCTCTTGGCCGTTACCAGTTTAACAAAATTGTATTCTGTATTATTTGTTTACAGTTGTTCTTCCATTCATTTATTTATTCGTTTAACATATAACAACAAATGTATGCGCCATTGAAAAACATTACCAGAGTAAATATGAGAAAATTGATGTAATGTAATATAATGTAATGTAGATGGAGACAGATGTGTGCTGATGGTATGTCATTAACCGTTAATTATTGTAGTCTTTATTGAAGAGCGCTTCACTGCAAATTATAGTGGGATCTTTATTACATTGTGATGACATTTATTTTGTTTGGAATATTTCCTGGGCTCTTAATAAGGTTTTAACTTCTACTAACTTGACATGCAGACACGCAGAGGGTTGTTAATGTTACCCATAAAATGTAGCAACATAGCAAATTTTTAGTTTTGTATGTATGTTTGAATTTTATACATGTATTTGAATATAATATGAATATGTAATATAACAATTTTTTACTTTTATTTTAATTAAAAGTTTCATCTGATAAGAAGATAGTTGAAACTGGAAGCATAGTTGTGAAGTTCGAAAGAAAAATTTAAAAGTTCGTAAAAGTTCGATAAAGTTCAAAGATAAATAAAGTTCAAAAAAGTTCATAAAAGTTCGAAATGCGACTGCCTCAGCTCAACATTAAATTATTTTATTTTCTAAATCAATCCGTCACACACAGAGAATATTACAACATGGAAGACAAAATGAAATGGCGAACTACAAAATTAAAATTTGAATAAATGAAAACATGTAAAAAAGCTGAAATTTTGAGGGAGATGACTTGGTTGTACCATGTAATGACAGAGAAGATGAAAAACATTTTGTCGTTCAAGTGAATTGTAAAGGAGAAAAACAAATAAAGTTAAAAAAAGAATACAAATCATATTTAAAAGCAAATGACTAAACAAAAATATTACAAAGGACCGCAAAAAATTATTTTATATAATATTTTATGGTACTAAGGCAACAATGTTTAGAAAATATAAATTAAATCAAATGATGTTCCAGAAATAATTGAGACACAGTTACCATCTTAACAAAAAATTATAATAATAACAACTTAATAAAAAATTTGAGTTTTTTTTCTTGAAACTTTTTTATATAAAAACAAATACACATGTGCATATATACATAAACATCTATCAAGTATTTTCTTGAAGATTTTTCATAGCACTTAGAAAACATTATAGACTTACAGTTATTAATATGTCAGTAATCAGTCCACATTGTCATCACTGTCAGCATCAGATGACCAATCGATATACTCGTCAATATAGTTAATATCTTCAATTTTTGTTACTAGCTGTAAGTTGCAGTGTACATTAACAATCTTCTCAACCGTCTTGCATGCAAGTCTGTTGCGTTTTTTTGTGTGAATAAAGTCAAATGTTGACCAGTTACGTTCACAAGACCCAGCTGATGTGACCTGTGACAATACTCTGACAGCAATTTTTTGTAATTCAGGTGTTTGTGCACCGAATGACATCCACCACTTGTGGCCAGGCATCGTCTTTGCTGCAGCGATAGCCATAGGTCGGCCAAATACACCTTGACGAGCTCTATAAACCGAATGTTGTTGTACCACTTTTACCTGTCAAGTGTACAATCAATTTAATAATAGTTAAGTATTACAGTAATACTAAAGGTGTATGACTTAAAAATAAAGACCCGCTTAAATTACAAAAATTTATCTGTGAAACTTAACACTAGGTTAATAATAGTAGTTTCTAGATGCACATAAACATTAACTCACCTGTGATTGCACATCATCTCTGTACATCTTTTCAACAATGTTGTGAAATCCTGTCATAACTTCTTCATTTTCATGTTGTTGATATGCTTGATATTCAGGATCTAAAACAAACCCAGCTGAATGGAGATCTGTGTGGAGCATTTTCCATCTGTTACTGATAAGTTGACGAATGTTTTGTTTTTTTATCGTTGAAAGTGTACTGTTCTGTATTTCTAGATCAGCTGAAAAAATTGTCCAGTACAATTTTCCTGTAGATGGAACAGCACCGTCACACATTCGTAAAACAGCTACAAATGGTGCACAAATACCAACAACTTGCTGAACATCATCCCAAAACTTTTGTCGTAATACAATATTAGCTATCTCTTCTCCTTGGACTTTATATGTTTTTTTTAATAGCCATTGTTTGTAATCACGAGATACAACAGTTTCTTGTAATGCGTCTTTGCACTCATACAGTCTTTGCAACATTATGAACTGAGTCGCAAAACGTGTTTCTCCAGGTTTAAGCAACTCCAATTCCGAATGAGATCTGAAATATGCCAAAGATGCATGATGTACCGTTACAAACTTAACAACTTCATGACCATTATCAATTACTGAAGCAATCCACGACAATTTGCCAATATCCTCAAGTAGCAGGTCTAGACAATGCGCTGCACAAGGAGCACAAGTTATGTGCATATATTTTTCAGCAATGAGTTTTCTGGCTGCGACACAGTTGCTGGCACTGTCTGTAATAATCTGAACAATGTTGTCAGCTCCTACCTTTTCTATCTGCTCACAAAACTTGCTAGTGATGTATGAAGCATCTTTGATTTCACCTGAGGTATCACATGCTCCCAAAAACACAACCCCTTCTGGTGTTACAGATAGAAAGTTGATTATTGGCCTGTTTTGGACATTAGACCAACCATCACTTACCATAGTGAGTCCTGTGTTCACAGTGTCTGACAAATGACTATTAACACGAAGAGCAACAGATTGGACTTCCTCATTTAGCAAATTTGTTGATATGGCCTTTCTGCTCGGAGGAACGTAACTAGCACCGCACTGTGCTACAGATGTGCAAGCATCTTTAAAGTATTTACTGTCTGCAAGATTAAAAGGTAATCCATTAGCGTAAAACATTCTAGCAACTGCTCTATCTGCAACATTTTTTGCACACTTCTTCATCATGTCTGGCAACATTGATTGCTTACCAAAGCTGATATTATTTGATTTTGAAGAAGTTGATGATGTAGTAAAAGTAGATGATGTTATTTGATTTAATCTGACCAGCTGCTGTTTTTTCTTCTGATCTTCTTGGCGCTTGCTTTCAATTTCCAAAAATTTGGAGGCAACAATGTCAGGAACCTTACTACATTTCTTCAGACCAATTTTTTTATCTCCAATCAGATGACCACGAATTCGTAATGCACCTCCAACAAATTTTCTGTCACAATATATACATTGAATGGTTGGCAAGTTATCCGGTTTGTCATCACTGTCATCACTAACGCAAATTACATGTTGCCATTCAGGCCCTTTTTCCTTTGGCATGATCAAATTTGAAAAGTTTATCAACGATTTTCAGCCTTTAATTATAAATAACTTACGTACGCGTACAAACAGGATACGAATATAACAAACAATCTATCGCTCACAAAAACATTAGATAGTCAGGCACTAGATAAAATAGAATAAAAAGAATTATACAGTGAGAATGACCTAGTTTTTAATGTCGCTTAGGAGAGCATAGATATTATGTCATCAACGGTGGAGTTAATTTGCATCTTAATAAACTTGATTCAATATTTTTAAACATCAAGAAAGGCAATAACATGATAATAACGACGTTATTAAAACAAAGTTTATTGCTATTTAAATGTTTAAATAATTTGACTTTGGAGGCGAATTTTTGCAGCGATCATTTCATAGATATTATAATTATAATATCTATGTTTAAACTTGAACTTTTTGAACTTTATGGCCGAAGAATAAAGTTCAAAAAGTTCAAGACAATAATAAAGTTCAAAAAGTTCGAACGTCACAACTATGACTGGAAGGAATGATTGTCATCTTTAAACCGTACAAGCCGTATTTTCTATTTTATTTGTATTTTATACAAAATAACAATTCATAAAAAACTGTTTGATATATTAATGGAACATAATATAATACCTAATGACCTCTAACAATATTTTAAATATTATCAATCAGACCGTTAAAGAACTGTTTCAAATGTCTCATCACGCATCTCGTTACTAGAAATTAGTTACCTCAAAAAAGTAATGCCTTAGTGTAACCCATGGTTGGGCAAACTTTTTGCTGTGAGGATCTCATTGAGAACAACTATTTTACCTTTAAAAGGCCGCATATGTACTTAAATAGCAAATTTTTTCGACCCGGGGGAGAATTTTTTTTAAGATTTGTGGCTCTTTTTTTGGTCACAATGTCTGGCTGACGACCTTTTTTTCTTTTTTTTTCGGCGAACAAGGCGAAAAACGCCAGTTTTCCTACCACTGGCGTAACCAATTACTACTTTTCCAAAGTAATAAATTATTGCAACTAACTACTGTTTTTATTTTATTAGTGATGCGCTGTTAGTAACCCGGGGTCCTAATATTAATGTTGTGTATGTATGTATGTATGTATGTTTGTATGTAGGTAGATAGTTTAAGTGCATTTGATGATTGTAAATAATTAAATTTGTGTCAGTTGTGTGTGCTCATCTCATTGTACATTCATGTCTCGTCCACGGTACATGCATGGATCCGGTTTATTTTAAATTTATATTCAACTCTTTTTAATTGAGCATATTTTAAAATTTATTCCAGCTCATTGGCTTTGTAAGGGAATTATAAATAAAGAATGTTTCTGATTTCATAGTTAGAATTCAATCACGTACATAGTGTAGTCTAAATATTATTTCAAAATAATAATTTTTGCTATTGCTTATTATATAAATTCAGTTGGTCTAAACGTTAATACTATTGTTAACAAGATAAATAAAAATCAGTCAATGAGCAATTCATGTATACATTTATACATGCTACATATATATACATATATACATGCATGTATTCTAATGAACAAATGTCAAGTTTGACATAAGGACCAACCTAATTAACTAGAAGATCTTGCCAGCAGTTTCAATTGCACCAATTTATCCTTCATGATGCCTCTATAATGAGCTCTTTCATCCAGTCAATTAGTTGTCATCTCCCCTATTGAGTGACTAATTACATTTTATGACTTTATAATATGCAGCTTTTTCGGGGCAGCTATCTACTATCTCTTTTCATCACATTTTTTTTAGATCAGTGCTCCTACCACTCTCTCTGTTTTTCATTTTTTTATCACTCTCTTTCTCTCTCATTTTCTCTCTTTATTCTCTTTTCGCAATGAAATTTTCTCTTTCATCTAAATTTTTTTTAAATTTCATAATTTTCTTTTATGCCACACGGCTGTAGTAATAATTAATAATAATTGTTTGTGAAAGTCTTTTTGAATATGGTAATGGCACTGTTTCTATTCTGTTGAAGTTTTTGGTTATCTAATTTACTAATTTGATGATTTACTGTCGTTTATTATTCTTCTTTTTTTCATTTTTAAAAGATTTTATTTTAAACGAATATCTAAATTTTATTTTGCGAGAGAGTTATAAATAATTGCGCTATTTATGTAGATAAATGTCAAATTAGCGACGTAGTTTAAACGCTATTTCTAAATAATACTTCATAATTTTTTTATTCTTTTTACAACAGAGAACAAGAATGGTGAATGATACTACAAAGGTAAAAGCTTTATTTTTTTATATCAGTGATTAATTAGTTAATTTATAATTATACTCAATAATAATATATAATAATAATATATAATAACTATGGTTTTTCTCATTAGCATTTAATTTATTACCTATTAATGCTGTTTTATTTGTTCATTAGCATTTAATTGATAGCTCATTAATGCTATTTTATTGATTCTTTAATAAACAGTTGTATGGTTCATAACATACTTGGAATATTTATTTAGGCTAAAGATTAAAATAATGAAACTGATGATAAGAATAATGATGATGCCAATTGTCATGATGATGATGATGATGATAATGATGTTGATGATGATAATGATGATGATGGTGACGATGATGACGATGATGACGACGATGATGATAATATGATGATGATGATGATTAGAGTGATTAGGATGTAATGATGATAATGATAATCTGACTTTATTGGGCAGTTTGTTTGACTTTCATGAACCACTGCTATTGACATTTAATGCCTCTTTCTTTGGATTCACTGGAACGCCGTTTTTAATGATGATACCAAAGATGCTGGTATTAATTAGGATGATGAGGATGATGACGATGTGATGTAAGTTTTGTCTACTTGAGTGATTGGAATAAGGATAGAAATTATGATGATGGAGAAATGAAATTTGGGATATTAAACAGAGATAATAAAATTATCTGAGGTTGTGTAGGTCGGGGTCATTATTTTAATTAGTCCATTGCTTATTTGCATTGATTATTATAAATCTTGGAATGTGGATAATAAATAAATAATAATGCGATGATGATGATGTTGATGACGATGGAGGCGTTCATGTTCATGAGGATGATGATAACGTCGATGATTATGTTGATGCTGATGTTACCGATGTACATCATGAATCTCGAATCAATTCGTAATCAGCTTACACTTTACATGTCACTATATTGTGAACAATTTGTTATTTATGTTATCACATCATCATCGTCGTCGTCGTCATCGTTATCATCATCACCGTCATCATATCGATACGATACGATCAACAGCAGCGTTATAGATGTCAAGTACTGCGATTAGAGTCATTGTTTTTTAGAGTATATGCTGTGAGCCATTGATTAAATTTTTAATGATAATTGTGAGATTTGCCTGGCGCGTATGTTGGTAGAATGTTTGTTGTATGAATTGGTCATGTGTGTAAATATGTCAGAGGAAGACTTGTGGACGGTTAACAAGGTCGGATTAACTGACTGGCAATGGGCGCGATAGTTCTTCCGCCCGGTTCGTGTTTTCCGACCAAGATAAAACTCGTCATTGTGAAGTGGCGAGTCCCGGCCAGAAGTGTGACCGCCTAGGCTGGCGGCGGCTATTATTTGTGTTTAGGGGAACAATTTTCGTCGCGGAGCCAAAGTTCACACAATGGTCTTTTTTAATAATAACAACAACACAATTTGTACTGATAATATAATTTATTGACAACATAATTTTTAAGGGTAACATCATCTTGATAGCCAGCAATTGCATGTTTTAACGCGTTTATCTTATGTTTATTTCTGAATAACAATGTTTATATTTGTCTGTCTTGATTTTCATACTTATTTTTTAACGTTTTTGTATGTCTTTTTCTTGATTTTATGTCATTACATTTTATGTAGCCGAACTTTCATTAATTTTTTTTTAAACATGTATCAATTTATCTATCCATTTTTCTATTTATCACTTCTTCCATCCATCCATTCATTTACTATTCATCTAAATATTTCATTCCCTTATTCACAACTAACTATTTATTTTTCTTTCAATTCAAACCTCATTCAGTCCATTTGTTTGTTCATTTATCAACTCAACAACTCATCATTCATTTTTTATTTTTTTTATACATCTATGGTATTTGTATATATTTTGTTTTGTTAATAATTTTTTTGTCCATCCATTCATTTATTTGAGCTCCAAAAAACAACGCGCTGAACGTCCTAGAAGAGTCCAAAAGGAGTCATCGAGCACAGCCACCTTAACAAAAAGTTTTATAAATTTAAAATTAAGCTATATAATCTACCCGAGACTGTTACATAAACAAGTAAAAAATGCAACATTTTTGGTCAAAAGAATATCATATGTCCGTTGAAGCAATAAATTTTAAAGCAATACAACTAAAATGAACGCATGATAATATGAAAATAATAAACAAGCGCACATATTAACATGTACTCACTAGCCTAATAATAAAAAAAATAAACATGCAAATGCGCGAATTGTATGCAAAAAACAATTTATGGCTAAGACCGATTATCTAACGTTTGACTATCTAGATGCAAACACACAGTCGCTTGCAACTAACTTATATCGAAATAATATGAATCAATCATTTAAGTAATTAAATAAACAAACCAGATGTACACTGTTGGACAATTTTAAATGACCAGTTAAACTAAAAACGTAAAAAATAATGTATATAATCATAATAAGATCGCATCTTACTTTAGTGTTATTTCACATAATAATTATGAATAATCGAAAAGACTAGAGAAAACATAAAAAATATTGTATTTATTTGCCAATTATTATTACCATTTCTACATTCATTCGTCAATTTATACATCAATTTGTTTTAATCTATCCAAAGCAAGCGCGCCTTTGTATTGATATGTAGTCAGTATTTTTTAATCATCCAATTGTTTGTAGAAACAAATTAAAAAGGAATATTTCAAATAACAATTTGTTTATCATAAGCATCTCAACTAACTAGCTAGCATATACTAAGATAATTTTTCGCCTCTCATGAGCAGTGTGATGATGCACTGTAAAAACATTTTCTATGCATGTTTATTTCCGTTTCATACATTTACTATATGCAGAAAAGATTGTGTGCTTGTTTTTAAAATACTTATGATTTTAAGAATTTATAATTTTATTTCAAATGTCAAAAAATTAAAATAAATTTCTTGTGAGTATGTAGGTCATTTTAAAAGTGTAATATAATCTCTCTTTAAATGGTGCTTAGGAGGCCACAAATTCTTCATTATTTCTTCAATTTTTCCTCATCTTTCACACAGTTGTGAATGTGTGCGTCGATTTGAACAAGGTTGAAGATATCGTTGGATGCATTTTTAATGTTCGTTCATGTGTCCTGTGGTAATCTAATAATTCCTTTGTTAAGGTCGCTCCTATCCTGTTGTTTAGTGTTATTTATTATGTGTTTTATTGTTTGTTTCGGTATTTTGTTGTTTGTTTGTCAGATTATGGCGAGGTGGGTTGACCATTTGTTTGTTGGTTTTCTTGGTTTTGTTGACAAATTTGAGATCCATAAGGCTTGGGATCCTTGTGGGTTTGGATGTGTTGTTGTTTTGTTTATCAGTTATCTATGTTGCATTGTCCTGGATAATGTTGCTTATTGGTTACTTGTATAAATGTTGGTTAGTTATTCATTGGTAAATTGAAGAGATTGGACCAGTACACGTTGACTCTTGGCCATCCATCGTTAGAGAAGGTATCAATTGGAATTTGTTTTATACAGGATTATTTTCTATCAAAAACTACGTAAATGACAAAAAAAGATGCAACCTTAGCAATGAATGCTATATTTTTGTTTTTGAGAGATTCATTTTTTCTCTTCCTTGCTGCTTATTTTTTCTCTTTTGGCTTCGTGTCTATTAGACGAACCTGCCATCTGTTTCTTCGTCCGATGAAGGCGAAGAAAGACGCAGATCTTTCTCAAGCAACGTGTACATTTTTTTTCAATTGTTTTCACTCTTTCGTTCTCTCATGCGGACCAAAGAGAACGACCGAATAAAATTTTTGGCTTAAATATTAATACGATAAATATTTGTGAAAATCGATCAGGTGACGATTAACCAGTTTTTTATTTTATGCATCAAACAAGCAAAAGAAAAGAACGAGAAACACTCACGTTAAAAAATATATTTTAATAAACTGTTATTGTTATCAAGTCACTGTTTTGAAAATAGAAAATACGATACGATACGATATATTTTATTTGCTTCAAAAATAAAAAATGAAGACAGGATGACCATGATCAAGTTATCAGGTAACTTATCTAGCATGGCCACCTTACAAATAGTTTTAAACAAAATTAAATTTGAACTAAAAATTTCTTAAAAGAGAAATAATAATGTTCAGGAACTAAAATTGTTTTACGAATAATCCACTATATCCTTAAAAGTTAAAAATTAGAATTTTGAATTATGGTTCAGTAAATTTTGAGCAGGTAATGGTTCTCATTGCTTTTTTCATGAACCGTTGCAGCGGTTGTGTCAATGATGGATACGTCGATGCCCAAATGATGTTACCGTAGATGAGATGAGGAAGGCAAATTGAACTGTACAGAAGTCTTAAGGTACATCTTGGTAGAAAGAGTTTTATTCTGCTGATTGCACCCAATGATTTGGATACTTTGTTCGTTACGCAACTTTTATGCTCTTTGAATGTTAACCCATTTACGCCTCAAACAAAACTACTGAATGAAAAACATCAAATTGTGCAAAATTGTAAAATATGAAGTATATTTAATATGTTTATTCAAAAAAAATTAAAAAAATTTATTTAAGTATAACGTTATAAAGGCGTCCTCAAATGGGGACGTTAGGCAGATGCGAGATGATACTTTTCGAAACACCCCTTTTCGATGCATAGTGTTTTGCCACATTTTTTACACATCCATCTAGCTTTCATGTGGCAAAAAGTACACTTTAGTTGTTTTTCCAATTTTCCAGGGAAGTGAAATCCTACTGTGGTTTCAATACTGTATCCGGCTTTTCTCTTTCTACTGGCTCTACTCGCCGCACCGTCTCTCAAATAGCCACGTACTATATGGCGACGAAACTCGAGTTGGTCCATTACATTCTCAGAAGTTATTTGCTGAATTTTCCAAGCATTGGTCATTGCCATGTCTAAAAAGTACGTAAATAAAACCCACCACCACTTTTTCCCTTTTACGCTTATTCGATATAGGGATAAGCATTGATCATGGTTATCTACTCCTCCCATTCCAGAATTGTAAGATGCGAACAATTTCGGCTGAAGAATGTTTTCTTTAGATTTGGTTGTTCTTGACCATCTCTTTACATTGTTCAGTGGTTTGATTGAATCCCAGTTAGACAACATGCTACAAGCACTGTTGTCATACCATTTTACACATAAAATGCCATTTGCTTTATCAAATTTGAAGTCATAAAACCCTCTTGTCATTTTCTTAATTTCTTTTGATTCCATCAATGGACATTTCTGCGTTCGATTTTCTCTGACTGTCCCTGTGGCATTTATATGTTTTTTCTTTAGGTACACCATCAATGCGTAACTAGTGAAATAATTATCGAAATAGATATTATTTCTTGATGGTTCTGGTAAATGTTTTAGAAGGTCCAACACAACTTTAGCTCCTAGTGGTAATGCTTTGGTGTCTTCAGTTTCATTTGGTTTTTTTCCACAATAAACATCGAAACCATAGCAGTATCCACTGGAGCTAGCTATCATCCAGTTTTTATACCCGAATCTCACGGGCTTACCTTTAATGAACTGTTTTGCTGGATGATGTCCATAATATTTTACCATAGATTCGTCAATGGAAATGTCTTTATGAAAACATCCCCATTGACAAAAGTTTTCTTGCAACTTGTCTGACAACGGTCTAATTTTATACATGCGGTCATTAGAATCTGCAATTTTGGAATTATCAGCCAAATGAAGAAATCTCTTTATTTCCAGATACCTGTCTCGACTCATAGCATTATAAACACATGAGACTCCGAGATCTTCATCTAGTGACCAATATAAACGCTCTCTTGGCAATGGATTGTATCCAGTAAAATATAAGATTGCTAAAAAAGTTCGTAGTTCCTCTGGTTCTATTGTAAATGAGTGGTTATTTTTTTGTCGTGCATAAATGATGGATTGATGGCATATGTAATTAGTAATATCCATGGAAAGAAATTTTTCAAAAATTTGTCTTGAAGACAAATCTTTAAGGTTGTCTTTGATTTTTTGTAGGTCTTCATCAAACGAATTACTTGTACTAGGTGATGCTGACGAAAAATCTGATTTTGTCCATTTGGGTTTTTCGAATGTAGTATATTGTTTATATAAACCTTCAGATATTTGATCAGGTTCGTTTTCGTTATCCGGTTCGTTATTCAAATCAACAGATATTTGTATAGCTCCTGAAATGTCTTTTGGAACATAATGAGGATCAATTATATTGTCATCATCAATTTCTTCGGCATCTGTCAATTCGTCCAAATCTGGAGGAAGGACACACAAATCAATACTGCCAACTGTTTCAAAATTATCACTTTCTATCTCTTCCAAGGCTTCTTCTAATTTTTGAAAAGTTTTAGTGCCATAAAAGGATTTAGGATCCATGTTATTCTCGTCTGAGGTAAAATCAAAAAGTTAACCATAATAAATTCATTTGTGCCTAACGTCCTCGTACTAGGACAGTAAGATGTTTGTGTTTGTAAATTACTTTATATCAAATTAATATTCAAAATAATGTTACTAACATAAAGATTAATCCAAAGACTTCTTGTTTTTAAAATAAAATTAAAAAATTTTAAAATTTTTTTAACAGAAAAAAAATTTGCAAAAGTAGCTCTGTCACTATGAAAAAATCGCCAACTTCTAAGCTTCGTCACATCAAACACATGCACGAAAATGTCTAAATTACACTCACTACTAGTTAAATGGTATGCGTTACCAGGATGTAGCAAGATAATTACCTTTAAAACACCTCCCATTTTAATTGATGCCAAATTCAAGAGGCGTACTCAAATGAGTACGGCCGGCATTAATGGGTTAATTTATTGTCAATTACGATTCCCAAGAATTTTGACGACTTAATTTCTGATATTGTTTCACCATCAACAATAATTTTATAAGGCTCTTTGTGATTTAAGTATTGGACGGGTCCAAAAACCATAAATTTAGTTTTTTCCTTGTTGAGGGTCAGCCTGCTATTTCTGAACCATTGAACAACGGTCTGAACATTATTGTTTAATATCATTTACTAATTCATTAATGTTTTTATCAATTTTGAATAGGTTAGCATACATCACGTAATTGAATCTTTCTGATGCGTTTGGCAAATCATTGATGTAAATGGCAAACAATAGAGGCCCAAGGATGCTGCCCTGAGGTACTCTCACATTGATTTTTTGCAATTTCGAATCTTTCCCATTCCACCTCACATATCGCAATCTACCACGCAGGTTACTATCCGACAATCTGAAGACTTTCCCTCGCACTCCATAACGTTCTAAGTTTCTTAGAAGAATTTCATGGTCGACGCAGTCAAACCCTTTACTTAGGTCTAGAAAAATGCCAGCGGTAAGCTTTTTCTCTTCGGATGCTTTGCCGATGTTACGAATCAGTTCAATAATTGCCATTTCTGTCGAATATTTTTTTCTCAATCCATATTGATTTTTTGAGATTATGTTATATTTGTCGAAAAAAGATGATAATTTATTATGAATGATTTTTTCATAAACTTTTGAGAAACCTGGTAGCAGTGAGATGGGTCTAAAGTTTGATATTTCATAATTGTTTTTAGTTTTTTGGATTGGTATTATTTTGGCTATTTTAAAAATTTTTGGAAAAATTCCTTTATCAATTGACAGGTTGATGAGATGTTGTGAGAATCGGCAATATTGAGTGTATCGTGGCTGAAATTATTTTCGTTGAGATGTTGTCATATCCACATGATGATTTCGGTTTCAGAGATCTAGTTGCTTGATATACCTCAGAATTTGTCACAAAACTCATGAATATCGAATTTTTAATGCTATTATTCATCGATTTTTTCCATTCAGCTGTTGTCACAAATTGTTCGGCCAGTTTTGCAGCTACTGAAGCATAGTGATCATTCAATGCATTTTCTGGATCGTTCACTATTTGATCATTTCTCTTGCATCCTTGCAAACATGCATCCTTGTTTCTATCATAATTGTTGGATCTCTTCAAGACATTATTTATTATCTTCCAAATTTCTTTCATATCATGTTTGTTATTACTTGATAAATTATGGAAGTATTGTTTTTTTGCACCACTTTTTAATTCGTGATAAATGTTTCTTATTAATTTATAATTATTGTTGGTTTCATTATTAGGGTTTTTAAGGAATTTTTGAAGAATATATTTTTTTTTGAAAATTATTATAATTTTTTCATTAAGCCATGGTTTTTGTTTATTAATCTTATTAAGTTTTTTATTAGATATTTGGCAGCACTCTATCATACTACCCTTGAAAAGATCAACCAATTTTTTCAACGTTGAGTGTGTTTTTTACAAATAATCTAACACCACCTCCACTCCTGTTCACACGATTTTTTCCAAAGAAGCAATAACCATCTATCAGCACCATACCCATATCACGATGATCAGATAGCCAACTTTCACTGATGGCAATCACATCAAATTTAAAAGCAAAAAAATCGAGAAACTCATTCACTTTCGTCAATTTTATTATTTATGCTTCTTATGTTGAAATGGATTAAATTGAATAAAACGTCAGTTGTTGAGATACGTTCGACACTGAAGCTATTTATTTCATCCACATTTTCAAACATTTTACAACAGTTTTCATAACTTTTTGTTATTACATTTTTATCGTCATCTATGATTGGCTCAGCAGCTTTTGTCGGAGATGATTTACGGGTGTTTACGATCTAAATTTTGAATTTCACCTGCTGATGGGTTGTCTGTCGATGATAATGGTGTATCAAGATGTTGCTGTGAAAGTGTCTGCTGATGATGACTTAGAATACTACACGTCGATAGTAGCGCGTCGAGATTTTGCTGAGGTTGACGATCGGTACTTGGTTTCCCGAACAACCATTCCTGGACGATGATTGAAGATGGCCAAATGTTTGCGTCTAGTAGCTTGTTTGTGTCTTGTTTATGTATACATAAGCGAAATGAAGAACTGTTGAGTGTTGACAAATCAATGATATCTGACGAACGTTCCTCTTTTTTGACGAGTGGAAAAACTGTAATAACATTGATGTTATGTTTTTTTAGGAAATTTATTATCGTGTTACTATTGCAACCTGCGGCGTTGCTGATGTGAAAAATTTTATTTCTTATAAGTTGTTTTTTTGCTACAAAATCAACATCTTTGACAGCTGATTTGCCAATAGTTTTTAATCTAGTTTTTGAAGAAGTCGAGTCACGTAGCTGAGATGATTTAGACATTTTCTTCTGTTTTTTTTAACACCTCTGTGAAATCTTTGTTTTGAGAATCTTATTCCTAATTTTTTTAGAATGTTCCGTGGCAATTTGAGGCAGATTGCGCTGGAGTGAACAATTTAAATTAGAATCAGCCTGTACGGTAGATGTTAAATTAGTTTTGATTTTAGAAAAAAACGGTTTATTTTAATTTCTTTAATTTCTGTTGGAGTTTTTACAACTTTTGACCAAAAACGAGATTTAACTTTGTCACACGCTAGTGAATTTAAATCACCCCTCAGAACGGCAATTTGTTTATTGCACTGTTCAAAACATTTCGAAAACTGCACCTGTTGTTCATGCAGAGTTTCTCGCACCTTATCAAATAGCTTTGTTACTAACATATGCTCATTTTCCGATAATAAATCAGATGAAGACAGCGACGGCGGGGCCGTTGGTAATGGAAAATTAAATGTTGAAGTAGTGTAGACGGGTATTTTTCCAAGTACGTTTTTTTCGTTTAATTGTTGAAGAGTAGAAACGATGTCATCCATGTTTTTAGCTGCGTCTAATTTGTTCGCAGATGTCTTTTTGCCTTTTTGTCATTTCACCAACTTTTATAACTTCACTAATCAAATTTTTCTTCGACTCGGCAATGAAGCTGGGCTCTTAATGTTTGAGGCAATTTTTTTATTAAAGTTGCTTTTTCCAAATAGGCAATTTTTTTAACGACATAGAATAGAAGTTCATTATTTACATAATTCGAGCGTTACTAGAAATATTGAAAATAAATTTTTCCGAGACAATTCTTTTGGCCGCCATTTTGTTTGACACGTGGTTGACACGTGAAAATGATAAAAGCAGTTAAAAAAAATTATAATTATGCACCAAACTAGCAAGCAAGCATACAAACAAACAAAAAAAAACGAAAGATAAACGCTAACGTTAATTGAATTGAATTGAAAGAAAATTTTATACAGCAAAAAACAAGTTAATTACCAGGAGACCCGAGACCGAAGTCTGTTAGGTCACCCTTAACATAAGAACAGAAAATATATTATTAATAACAGAAATGAATGCCAATAGTTGCCAATACATCATGAAACAACACAAACTCTGAAGCCTTTCCCAAAGCGAGATTTAGCTTCAAAGCAACTTAATACATTAGCCTTACATGATTTTATGTAAACAGTTAATCTATCACATGTAACTGAGTTGTCATGGTTGCTGACAAAATAAATTTTCTTCTTGGTAATGGCACCAGCAGATTTGGGACAAGAACTAGAGTTATTTGAACCCTGAATACTCTTAGGTTTTTTTTTCTTAGGCACCTGAGTGGGGACATACGTTTGCTGTGCAGAAGGTCGCAGAACTGTAGTCAACCCTGGAAGAGACTGAGGACTGGGCGGATCAGCCAATTGAAGGCCCTTGACCAGGGCAGCCTTATAATGCTGAGAGGGTTTAACAACTTACTTCTTCACAGCTTCGAGGTCATGTTTTAGCATCCCGATGGCGAGCTAATTTTCATTATCTCTTGACTCTAACTGTTTAACTCTTTCCGTCAGCGAGAGGAGAAGTTAGGAGATTTTGCCACACCAATCATGGAGTTTCCTCGCCGGCTCTCCCGCCGTACTGGCCAATTTCATCTATTTATTTTCACGCAGACATTCGAGGTCCATTACCACATTTAACGGGTTTAACGTATAAAATAAAAGAAAAAAAAGAAAAATTTGCCGAAATTTATCAAAATGAAAATTTGACGAAACGAGAAATATTCGTTTATCGCTCACCAAAGAATATCTATCTCTCCATCAGTTTCTTCCAGGGTTAAGTGAAACAAACTTACAAACGAACCAACATACGGGCAAACAAATAAACGATAGCACAGTTGCAAACATGCTAACACAACACAATATTATTTATATAATATATTCAATAAACATTCACTAAAATTTTCGGCTTGTATAGTCCTCGTATAAGACGTTCTGTTGCGGATGAATCCGATCTTTTTGAAGTCTGGTATGGGTTGGAAAAGAGCCTCCATGCGTTCCATCGGGTACCCAGTGATCTTCTTTGCTGGTGGGGGAATACTTTTTTCGTTACTTTTTTGTTATTTTATTGTTATTAATTTTATTATAGAGTTTTTATAATTGCTGTTGTTTTTGTTATTGCTATTATTGTTGTGATTATTATCAATATTAACTCGTCATTCCAACTATCGTCGTCTACATTATTAGTTAGTTGGTTTTGAAAGACATTTAAGTCTCTTAATTTTAATTTTATAAATTCTCTTAGAAAAATTGTTGTCCCGAAACAATTCTAGCAATTCTTGGCTTAGTAGCTTTTATCAACAAATGCTTGATGCAACTGCCCATCATCATCATAATTAAAATCAATAAATAATGTAAATCTAACTAAATTAAACTCTAAACCCACATTATTCGCGCATAATTTTACAGACAAATAGTCTCGAGCATGCTAACACAACACATCATTTACGTAAAAGGAGTCACCAAAATCATCGGAAAGACATTTAAATTTCTTAACTTTAATTCTATAAATTCTCTAGAAAAATTGTTGACCCGAAAGGATTCTAACAATTCTTGACTTAATAGCTGTCGTTGAAACTTTTTATCAACAAATGCTTAGTACAATTTCTATCATCGTTGTTATTCAAATCTATAAATAAGGTAAATCCAACTAAATTAAACCCTAAACCCACATTATTTGCGCACAATTTTACAAACAAATAGTTGCGAGCATGCTAACACAATATATCATTTACGTAAAAGATCCCAAAATCTTCGGAAAGACATTTAAATTTCTTAACTTTAATTCTATAAATTGTCTTGAAACATTGTTGACCGGAAAGGATTCTAACAATTCTTGGCTTAATATCTGTCGTTGAAACTTTTTATCAACAAATGCTTGATGCAACTGCCCATCAGCGTCGTTATTTAAACCTATAAATAATGTAAATCTAACCAAATTAAACTCTAAACCCACATTACTTGCGCATAGTTTTACAAACAAATAGTTGCTAACATAACACATCATTTATGTAAAAGTAGTCACCAAATTCTTCGGAAAGACATTTAAATTTTTTAACTTTAATTCTATGAATTCTCTAGAAAAATTGTTGACCCGAAAGGATTCTAACAATTCTTGGCTTAATATCTGTCGTTGAAACTTTTTATCAACAAATGCTTGATGCAACTGCCCATCAGCGTCGTTATTTAAACCTATAAATAATGTAAATCTAACCAAATAAAACTCTAAACCCACATTACTTGCGCATAGTTTTACGAACAAATAGTTGCTAACATAACACATCATTTTTGTAAAAGTAGTCACCAAAATCTTCGGAAAGACATTTAAATTTTTTAACTTTAATTCTATGAATTCTCTAGAAAAATTGTTGACCCGAAAGGATTCTAACAATTCTTGGCTTAGTAGCTTTTATCAACAAATGCTTGATGCAATTGCCCATCATCGTCATTATTCAAATCTATAAATAATGTAAATCCAACTAATTTTTACTCTAAAACCACATTGTTTGCGCATAATTTTACATACAAATAGTTGCAAACATGTTGACACAACACATAATTTACACAAAAGTCACCAAAATCATCGGAAAGGTATTTAGACCTCTTAATTTTCATTCTATAAATTCTCTAAAAAAATTGTTGTCCCGAAACGGTTCTAACAATTCTTGGCTTATTAGCTGTCGTTGAAACTCTTTTATCAACAAATGCTTGATGCATTGCCCATCAGCGTCATTGTTTAAATCTGTAAATAATGTAAATCCAAATAAAGTAAACTCTGGATCCAAATTATTTGCTCAACATTTTTCTAACAAATAGGTGCACGCATGCTAACACAACTAAACATTAACAAACGGCCCTTATCGTTCTTGTGTTGGTCATTTCGTCGTGAATGAATCCGATCTTTTTGAGGTTTTCTATCGGCTTGAATAGAGCCTCCATGCGCTCCATCGCGGACTCAGTGATCTTTTTTCTGGTGGGGGAATATTTTTTTGGTTATTACTTTCTTACTTTATTGTTATTAGTTTTGTTATAGAGTTTTATTTTGTGTCTTGTCATCTTCGTTCATTTACATGGTCATCGTCCGTCTTTGTCCGTCTTCCATTTTATTCTTCTCATGCTATCTGCTTTTTCATTGCAGTTTTTATATTGATATATGCTATAGTGGTTGGCACTATTTTCTTTATTATCATTTGAAGTTTTCGAGATATCGGTGGGTGAATTCGACGTTGGTGCTTGTAAAGATGACGGAGTTCGTGATGATGTATTTAAAACTCGCGACGACATGATCGGCCTTGTTACTGCAAGTACAGATAGAAAGTCCATGGGCTACACTGGTGATTCTATATGGCAAGCGAAACATTTATTTAAAATGTGGGGATGAAATGCAATTTTCAAAATGTAACTAATTATGGTAACAATTTAATTTTGAAAGTCGCATTAAGGTATAATAATATTCACAAATGAAAAAATATATTGCAATTTACCTCTGGGTACAGGTTCAACGTTAAAAAAACTTCCATTTTGATTTCAGCCATTAAATATTGCTTTAGCGCCCTTTTTTTCAGTCCCCAAATTATTTTGAAATCGGTCTTTTTCACTCTCGTTGAATGAAGACCACTGGTTGATATTGTATGAGGGTGATTGAGATGGTGTTTAATATTAGAATTACAATTGGTGTATTTTATTTAGAATTGTTACTTAATCACCTTTGCTCTCTCTGGAGGGACATTGAATGCTAGCCACGCCTACTTCCGAATTTAATTCAATTTTGCATACTTTATTCAATTTTATTTATGCCTATATCCTTACTTTGTAATTTAATGTGATTTATATGTATTCTTCACAATACTTCGTAATTCAATGTTATTTATGTGTACTTCTTACCAACAGAGTGGCTTCACACCGTTGCACATTGCATCTCATTACGGCAACTTGAACGTAGCCAAGGTGCTCATACAACATGGGAGCAATGTTAATGCGAGGGCCAAGGTTTCATCGTTGTCTGTTTTTTGTTTATCTCTTTGTACTCTCTTTAATGTTATCTCTGTGCCGTCCGGTGTTCGCTGCTACTGTTTGTTACTTTTTATTTTTATTGTTATTTTAAGTTATACGTTTTGTGACGAATGATGTTATGATTTTGTTGCATGTTTCCCTTTTGTTGTAGTTGTCTATGTCGAAAAAATTGTTTATTCTTCAAATATTTAATTTTTAGGTTCATATATTTGTAATACTTTCATTAAAAATTTAATTGACATAAGTTTGCCTACAATACAATTTTGTCTGCAAACTTCCTTAATATTAGAGCTGATTGGCATCTGTCTCACAACTAATTGCACACCCTATCATGCAGTGTGTTGTTTTACGTATAACAAATATATTATACTATGAAGTGCTTTCCATATCGCTATGCCTTTCCATTCTCACACTTGTGTACAAGTTGTTGTTCATTAAAAATCAATTGCATCACTTTGCATATTTTCCATTTCAAATGCAATCTATACTGTGGAATCTTCATATCTGAAATCTTGATGGAATTACACGAAATGTTTTTGAGTAGGAAGTGTAGACTTGCGTCAATTTAAAAACGTACATTTCTGGCCAATGATTTATTTCTTCTGCAAACAAATACATTGAATGCTTTTTTTTTCTCCCTTTGTTTACCTAATGATAAAAATTGAAAACATTTGAATCAATGAACCATCCACACACTCTCCTTAGAATTTTTCTCTATTCATTTTTTGAAAAGTTTGAAAAGTTAACTTTTTTGAAATATAAAAATTGAGGAAATCGTAAAGAACCGTGATGAATGCCTGGATTAGTTCCTGTAATTAATTTAATGTATTACGGGATATGTTTACTGGCGTGTGTGTTTTGTGTTTTTGTGTTTTTGTGTGGGTGTTTGTGTTTGTGTTTGTGTGTTTGTGATGTGTGTGTGAGATACTGTATGTGACGCTGTGTGTGTGATGGTGTGTGTGTGTGTAATACTGTATGTGTTTGGCTTACACTGTGTTATATTGTTTTTATGTATTTTTGTAGTTCAAAAAACAGCGGTTTAGTGTTTTTAAAAATCTATGCAATTTATTACGCTAGTTTTCTAATATTGAAATAGTTACTTTCCACGCACAATGCAGAGTTCTATATACCCGCTGCACGTATCAAGTAAGTGGGGTAGGACGGCTCTTGTTGATCTGCTCATCCAGAATGATGCACTGGTCGACTGTAGGACTAAGGTGGATTGCCCAACTTTTATTTGTTTTTTTGTTTACATTTATCATTTTACTTTTGTTTTTTTATATGTTTTACATTTATCCTCTTATTACATTCATCTGCTGAGTTTTATTCCCATTAATTTAAGTTAGGATCAGTTTCAAGTACTTTAATCCACAATAATAATAATAATAATAAGGCACTAGTAAGTTTTCAAATTAAAGTAATGAGAAATGTTGTTACATATTCGAATTTATTTTCAGGATAATCTAACACCTCTACACTGTTCCAGTCGAAGTGGGTACGATGAGGTGGCTGACCTGTTGATCAGGGCTGGGGCCAACATTTCTGCCCGCACCAAACATGGTCTGACACCTCTGCACATGGCTGTGCAAGGTGATCACATTAACACTGCTCGTCTGCTGGTCTCCTCTGGCGCTCCACTCGATGAAAACACTGTTGTTAGTGGCTGCTGATGTGATTAATTATTTTCGTTTTTATTTGAACCGCAACCGTTTTATTGCTTTAGCTCCGATGACAATTAATAAATATTCGAAGACAGAATGAATCCAGATTGTGTGGTTGGGCAGAATTGGTTAACAAATGTTTTCCACTTGTTATTCTGTTATTGTTATTATATTTTTTTGTTATTAAAATTAAAATTATGATTATTTTAATGATTATCATACTTTCCAGGACTACCTGACTCCACTGCACGTGGCAGCACATTGCAGCAGTGTAGGATGTGCCAAGCTGCTCCTTGATAATAACTGCCAAGTTAATGCTAAGGCACTCGTTAGTGTTCTCGTGCTGTGTGGTTGAAGGTTGATGAAGATGAGATGGATGGTGACGGTGGTGGCGTTTGTGAGGATGAATTGACAACGATGGCGTTCATGATGGCGACTTGGTGATGTTTATGAAGAGGATGGAGATAATTTAATAATGTTGATGAGTAAGAATGATTGAAATTCTGTTGAAAAAAATTACAAGTCTGTCATTATTTTTCTGCGCCCTGAGCATTATTAGCATTTATTTGTACTGGAGTTATTGATTCACATCGATGATATCATTATTGGCCTGTTTATAATGCAAATCATTCTCACATTCGTCGTCGTCATTAGCGTTATATCATCATCGTCATCATAGTGACCATCATGTTTTCATCATTTTGAACTTCCATTCCCTTGCCATTTTCTCCATCATCGTACATAATACTTTTTTTTCCCGACCTCCAACGTTTGATGTTTCCTAATGACATCTATTCTCACAGAATGGTTTCACTCCTCTGCACATAGCGTGCAAGAAGAACAGAATTCGTGTCATAGAATTGCTGCTTCAATACGGAGCCGACGTTCACTGCACCACTGAGACTAACCTCACTCCACTTCATGTTGCTTCCTTCATGGGTTACATTGACATAGTCAGGTACTTGCTCACCAGGGGCTCTGACATCGAGGCTCAGGTTTGTTGTTGATGTTGTTTGAGTGTTGGCTGATTTGTTGTTGTTTAAATGTTGGCTGATTTGTTGTTGTTTGAATGTTGCCTGATTTGTTTGATGATCTTTATAAGTGACTGGTTCATGGATTTTTTCTATTTTTTTTAGGTTTTATATAATTATTTACTTGATAGTGTTTGTTTAATGTTATATTATTACTTTTGTATTTGCTAATTAGTTGTCACGGCAAATACAATTTGCTGATGAAGTTTACTTACATCACCACTGCATCATAATATTTGTCTTTAATAGCGTGTATTGCGCAGTGACATCGCTGCATAGTTATTTACTGGCGTCATTACATTTATCGCATTGTGTTTTGTTGCACGTTTAATGCAGGATGTTTTGTTTGCTCTCTGCGTGTGATGTGACACGTAGCCAAGTCTGTCAGCTTCAAGTTTTTCACGTTGGATTGATGTTCCTTTGTAGTTTCTGCTGGCTTCTAGAGCAACACTCACCAAATGAGTCTTTCGTTTCTACACGTCACATGTGCCGTCTTACTGCACTTGAAAGCGATATTCATTTGTTTAAATATAGTACTGTTATTAATTTAAGCATTATACATGACTGTTATATCATGGTCCTAAAATATTTTTGAAGCAAATTATATAACAGCTCAACTGTTTCAAATGTTATGTTTGACGTTCAGATATAAACAAATCAAAGAGTTAAAACGGTTAACATATTAAAGTGAAACCGCAAAAAACAAAAACTTCATTCTAATATAAAACCAGATGCGTGCTTATTTCTTGAGCCCATTCAATACATCCATTAATCAATTTCAACGTTACTAATTAAGAAAACTGGATGAATATTATTTTACAAAACACATAAGTGCATTTTATTCCTTCAGTAATCAATTTGTTTCTTTATTCAACCTTAAAACTAGCTACTCAATAAAAATTTATTGATATTGAATTCCTAATAGGAGTGCTTCCCATAAAATTTTTTTCTATATTTTTTTTAATCCTGGGATTGTTGAACTTTAAATGTTAATATATATATAAACAAATTTATATTTCACGGTGTGCTTGCTTGTGTTTTTGTTGTATTATTGTCTACATGCTTGCACACTTCACCGTCATCAGCCTCACAATTCAAGGTTGTTTCGAAATGATATGCATAGCGTTTTTTTTACATGAATGCAAATTTGGGTTCTAGTAGCGAAAAGCGTAAAATCAATGCATGATAAACACTGAACACTAACAGGCCTGACACCAAATAATTGATGTGTCTACGCCATCACCATATCATATAAACATCGTCATCTTCATCATGGCTGCATTACCATAGAATTCCACGTCTTATCACAAAAACAATGTCTTCTCGCAATGTTTTATTTATGTTCATCATCACCGTCCTCATCGTCATCTAATATTTTATTGCATTGTCTTATAACAGTGCTTAATTACATGAGATAATATCTGGATGGTTGTTTCATTTATAAAGAAGGTTGTTTTGTTTTTGCCAACACATAAAATGTATTGTTAATACGACTTAATCATTTAACATCTTTTTATATTCTTACATTCAATGATAACAGTACAATGCAGTGCAATATAATGATATACTGTACAATACAAGACAATTTAATACAATAAAAAAAAATTATAAATTACAATACTATTATACCATGGAATAAAGTATGATACAATAAATACAACAATACAATACAAAATACAATTCAATAGAATTCCAAGAATTCCACGTCTTATCACAAAACATGTTAAAAGTCTCAAAAAATTTTGTTTCTGCTTTTTAGAATTTCATATTGTTAAGTGCTTTTTGATAAAAGTTTATTGAGTAGAACAAACAAACAAACAAACAAACAAACATACAAACAAACGAATGAATGAGTTGATATATGGATTAAATAGTTGAGTCGGTGAACATTTAGGTAAAATTCATGTATGTTTATTCAATCAACTTTTTTTAAAGTGATACATTCCATTAAGAGAAACATTGTTTTTGCAAGTCTGCACATATAGGTACCACATTTTCCCGCATCTATTTATTAACAATAAGCACACAACTTTTATGGTTCTTTCTTTCTTTCTTTTAATTATTTTTCCATATCTTCTTTTCTAGACTAATATAATTGTTATTGAATTTTTTATATTTAATTTCTTGATAAATTTATCATCTTTTTGTTTATTTGGCCTTTATGTTTGTTCAATGTGAATCTTTGTTTTACATCATTTGACATAAACAGTGAAGAAATATATTATATGGTTAACCCTCTAAAACACATTTGTCAATCATAGGTTTTGATTGATTGATTGATTGATTGATTGATTGATTGATTGATTGATTGATTGATTGATTGATTGACATCGTTTGAGCAACATACGATTGTATTCTCTCACCATAATCACACCAGTCTAAATATGTTGTCGCTATCTTTCCATCTCATCACATCAAACATATCAATAACATTTTTAATGTGCTAACCCAACAACAGACAGACAAGGGTGAGACAAGCTTGCACCTTGCAACGCGAGGCAACCAGTTGGATGTCATGAGGTTGCTGCTAGATGAAGGAGCTAATGTTGACGCCCGAGCTAAGGTTGCTTATAATTTTCATCATTTCTATCTCTTCTTTCTTTCCCCTCCTTCACTAGATTTCTCTCATTTTCTCATTATCTCTCATTTTTCTTAGCGTTGTTTGATCTAAAATATTTAAAAAAAATGCCCACTGGACAGGCACCAACACGCACCACACACACAACACACACACTGACACAACAAACACATCACACATCAGGAAAACCAGACACCACTGCACTCAGCAGCTCGCACAGGCAGTATCGACGCAGTCTCCTTGCTCCTCTACCACAGGGCTCTCGTCAATGCAGTCACAAAAGATAACTACACTCCACTGCACGCTGCCGCCAAGGAAGGGCACGAGGAAATCATCCAACTGCTGCTGGATAGTGGAGCTGATCAGACCATCAAAACCTCCGTCAGTTTGGTTTTTTTTATTCGTTTGTATAGCGCAGCTCTGTCAAACGCTTAGTTCTTCATTTGAAAGTTGATTAAATGTTTCATTCCTGGTGCTTATGCAATAAGCTGTAAGGCTCATCATTGACAGTTTTGTTGTTATTATTATTTTTTTGAAGATTTATGCTTATAATTTGTAAATTGGATCAACTAATTATAAATAGGTGTTCCGTAGTTGAGTGATTTAGTTAAAGACAACGAAATTAAAAATAAATTAGTTATTTTAATTGTTTTAAATGTTGGCGCCTCTGATGAAACTTGTGCTGTTGATATAAAAGTTAGACACTGAAATAAATCAAGACTCCACTATATTTGCAGAAAAGTTTCACTCCATTGCACATTGCTTCAAAGTATGGAAACACGAGGGCAGCTGATATCTTAATATCAAACGGAGGGGATGTGAATGTGGAGAGCAAGAATGGACTGACCCCTCTGCACCTGGCTGCCCACTACAACCAGCCTGACATGATCAACAAGCTGCTCAGCAAGAAGGCTGACCCACATGCAGCTGCTAGGGTTTGTATGTTTGTATGTTTTGTATGTTTGTATTTTTTTGTATGTTTTTGTATGTTTATATGTCGTTTGTTCATGCTGCTCATTTTATATACTAGGACAGTGTGACGGTATTTTTCTAAATAGTTGCGGTAAGAATTTATTAAAGTTTTTATGAGTTAAAATAGTTGTTTTCGTGTTTTTATTAAATTGCGATAAAAATTTTTTAATTAAACACTTTTATTTTAATGAACTACAATGTTTTTTGCATCATTTAACACCGGAGCACTGTCTATTTGATAGGTTACTGTTTTTATTCATTAAATAATCAGAGCCTGACAGACGCAGAATCTGTTAAATTTTGCAAAATACTATTATAAAATGAAAAGAAATTAACAGAGTTGAAAGGAGTTACGTATGAGAAATTAAATAACGATTTTAGAAACTGATAAGTAAATGAATGAATTAATGATCAAATGAATGACCTGGCATGCTTTCTTTGAACAATGTGCGAACGCATTTTTCATTCCAACGATCACTGGCAGCTTCTGAGAGTTAATAAAATAATGTAGAAAAAAAATCTTCTTTCTGCTATTCTTTCCAATTATTCGTCCGTTTTTCTTTCGCTTCCTTATTCGTCAATTTCAAAATATGTTCAACTTTTGGGTGGCGTGATGGCTCAATGGTTAGAGGTGCCTGCTGGTCCTGCCTGCTGTTGCAGTGATTGGGCTCGAATGCAAAGAGATTCCCGCCCATCATATGCACATTATATGCAATGTGGTTTTCACTTGTATTCGTATATGTAGTGTTTGACGTTGATACCTCTAAAGCAAGTGCACATGAGAGAATGACCTTTAGCCTTTTTTTAAAAATAGAGTAGTAATAGAAGCAGTTGTGGCAGTAGCTGTAGTAGTAATAATAAAATCTTGGTTAGTTCATGTTTTTAGATTAATGTGCTTAGATGTCCAGAATGATGTGCTTAGATATTCAGATTGACGTGTTCAAATGCGTTCAAATTGTTCGTGTTTTTTCTTCATGTACTCAGATATTTTCCTACCAGCGACCCAGCGTATATTTTTATCAATATTGTTGACATGGACTTGCTACTCTTTAAAGAATTATTCAAAACCGCTTGTGGGAAGGTAGGATAGATAGATTGTTATGTAGCTGTAATGTAATGCTGTCCTGTGCTGGCTCAGTCGTTAAACAAATGCGTCTAAACAGATTCACAATCATCCTCCTCCTACACACTGGCTGCCTTGGTAAACACTCATCACATCAAGCAAATAAATCATATATCTAGCTTGTGTACAAGCTACAAGGGTTGTTGCAATATTTTTATGCATGCATTATCTTTTTTTTTAATTTAAATAACTATTATTATAATTAATAATAAATTATTATTACTCGTCTTTAATAATAATTATAACAATTATTATTATTTAATATTTATAAATATGTTAACATCAGAATGGCTACACTCCTCTGCACATAGCTGCCAAGTACAATGAAGCTGATGTTGCTCAATCACTCATCAACCACAAGGCCAAAACTAACGCTGAATCAAAGGTTGTTGATTGGAGTGCTTGTTTAACGAGTTGGTCGGCCAGTTGGTTGGTTGATTGGCTGGCTGGTTTGTTGGTTGGTTAAATGGATGATTGAATGTACAATCTGGTCATGATAGTTTGCTCAACCTAGGAATTTTTTTAACTGCTAGATTCGATTGTATACTTACGTCATCGTATGAGTGGTTGAGCCAAATGAAGATGATTAAGTTCAAGAATTGAGCGTGTTATGTTCCATATAATTCCTTTATTTTTTATATTACTCTTTACTTGCAACAATGCCACTTTTAAAAGCGTTCATTCAATTGCCAGACAAATTATCGTTGATTGTTTTAATGTGTCATAACCATAATGATACACTGAAGTGTTAATTAGGGGAGGGAAAGGTATTTGGTATAATGAAACAAAATTGAGCTAATTAATAAAGCAACATGATAACAACGTGATTAAAAACATGGTTGACAACATGGTTGAAATTTTGATTGCCGATATGGTTGAAAACTTGATTGACAACACATTCAACGACAACAACAGAATGGATTCACTCCTCTGCACTTGGCAGCACAGGAAGGAAATGTTGAGATGGTTTCTTTGCTACTCGAGAACAAGTTGGCGGTTGTTTGTTTATTTGATTGATTGATTGATTCATTCATTCATTAATTTACTGATTGACTGATTAGATCACTGATTAATTAATTTAGTAATTGATTGATTAATTGAGTGATTGGATTACTAATTGATTGATTGATTGGTTGGTTGGTTGGTTGGTTGGTTGGCTGATTGATTGATTGATTGATTGATTGATTGATTGATTGATTGATTGATTGATTGATTGATTGATTGATTGATTGATTGATTGATTGATTGATTGATTGATTGATTGATTGATTGATTGATTGATTGATTGATTGATTGATTGATTGATTGATTGATTGATTGATTGATGATTCGTTGATTCTTTGAGTCATTAATTGATCGGATTAGTAATTGTTTGTTGATTGTATACGTCTTAATGTCTTGTAATGATCGTTGGATAAGATGAAATGATGGTTGATTGGTGTTGAATGGTTGTTGAATGGATGAACTGTGATTATGTTTAATAAGAAAAATTAAAACAGACTTGATTGATGTTATTGTACGGTATCTGTTTGATGACATGATGATTATATGATTCGGTATTTTTTCCATGGCTGGTTGATGTTTCAATATTCTTCATACTCAATTATCATTCTAGATGCCAATCTTATAAGGACAATGATAGTGGAAATATGTGTTATCTATTTGTCAACCTAGCAACAAACATTATAAATAACGTCACATAACATTACGTAACGTAACATAACAAACCTACAGAGCCAAAGTGAACAGTCAGGCCCGCAACGGCTTGACGGCATTGCACCTGGCAGCACAGGAAGATTATGTGCCAGTGGCTGAGGTCCTCGTTAGATACAAGGCCGATATTGACCCTCTGACCAAGGTCTTTTGTTTGTTTGTTTGTTTGCTGATGGAAGGGGTAGGGCTACGTCCACCCACTTTGTGTTCTAAATGATAAATTATTCACTCAACTATTAATTACAGCTAATATTATGAATATTTGAACTTTTTAAACCACGAAGTCTTTGTGAATGATCATTTTTCTAATTGCCTGTAGTCAGTTGTTAATTTATTCGTAGTTATTAGCAAAATTAATGTAGGGTGCATGTGCAATTATATGATGCAATATGGAGTGCAGAGTGTATTTTAATTTCAATATATGTGATGTGAGATGAGTTGTGAATGTTGCACAAATGCCACACACACACAGGCCGGATACACGCCGCTGCACACTGCATGCCACTTTGGCAAGTTGAACATGATCGACTTCCTACTAAGGAGAAGTGCCAACGTGGCTGCTAAAACTAAGGTATGTTGCGCGCGCGCGCGTGTGTGTCTTTCTTGTGTGTTTGTTTGTGTGTACGTGCGTGCGTGCGTGTGTGTGTGTGTGCGTCTTTTGTTTGTTAGTATCAATCGCTTCTGTTTATGTTGTTTTTCATTTTTGTCATTCATTCATTCATTCATTCATTCATTCATTCATTCATTCATTCATTCATTCATTCAATTTTGAATTTAACTAAAGTGTTCGGCTTGTTTCTAGGTTTTGATAGATTTTGTAGATAGTTTATTTAGAATATTTATAGCATGTTTTTGAAATTATGATTAACAATGCTTTGATGAACTTATTATAATAATGATAATATTCACGATATTAATGATTAAAGAGACTAGACCATTCTATATTTACGATCTTATGACTTAAATAATTCCTACGCCCCACTACAAACAGACAGGCCACACCCCACTGCATCAGGCCGCTCAACAAGGTCATCTCCTGGTCACTCAGATGTTACTTAAGGCCAAGGCCAATCCCAATGAAGTCAATGAAGTTGGTCGTCTCCGTTGTTTTTCATTTTTTAACTGATGTGCTTTTTATGCTTCATTTCATTGCTAGCTGTTTAGTTGGTTTATGTTTGCATTATAAGCAGTATTGTCATGCTTATTTTATCATTCTTTCGTTCGTTCGTTCGTTCATTCATTCATTTATAAATTATTGATTGATTGATTGATTGATTGATTGATTGATTGATTGATTGATTGATTGATTGATTGATTGATTGATTGATTGATTGATTCATTCATTCATTCATTCATTCATTCATTCATTCATTCATTCATTCTTTCGTTCATTTGTAGTTCATTCGTTCATTTATTCATTCATCTGTTCGTTCCTTTTTAATCATTCGTTCACTCCTTCATCGACTGACCGCCATCAGGATGGACAGACAGCACTGTGGATAGCAGAGCAGCTTGGTTACATCTCGGTGGTTGAACTGCTGAGGGACATAACAACGGTGCCGAGCAGCAAGCAGACGAGCAGCAGCAAGTACCGAATGATCGAGCCAGAAACCATGCACGATGTCGCCATGTCTGATGACGAAGATGATGACAAGGGTATCTCATTTCTTACTATTCATTCATTATCGAGTGATGACTGTAAGAATAAATCTTGATGGCGATGATCCTTTGATGTCAGTTGTTGAATAATTTATACAATACAATACAATATTTTATTTCCTCCTCAATATAGTAAAATATAATTAGTACCGTTGTAAGTTTTTGAATAATTTATGTTAATTAAAATGAACTGACCTCAGGAGAACTTGGAGACCAATCGTACATGTACTTGACAACTGGAGAAGATATGAGAGGGTTTGGTGATGACAGCAGTCAGCAGAAGGTATGCTTCCATGTGTCTGTCTCGTTGTTTGTTTGTTTTATTTGCTGTGGTACCGAGAAGAGACCTTTAAGTAGTTCGTTTTGTGAAGAATTAAACACTCACCTGTCGATAGGATAGCATGGTCACGGACAACAGAGGAAGCATGCGAGTATCCGTAGGAAACCAGGAAGATGTCAGATGGACACAAGGTGGGTGGGTTTGTGTGTGTATGTGTGTGTGCGTGCAGCCTGTCGTGCTTGTCATGCAATTGTTATGATCTCATCTACGAATGTGGTGTGTTTACGTTGGAACATTTGTTCATGTGTCGTTAAATACCAAGTTGCTGTTAATATTTTTGCTTGGGTCTTGTTTATTACGTTGAAAAATTTCGTTTAATACATACATAATTCGAAGGCACTGACCCGAGTAAAAAGATAGCAATGGACGGTGACGTGGTGAGGACGACGTACGCAGGTTACAGCAAGGATATATTGCAAACAAAGCAGCAGCAGCAACAACAACAACCACAGTATCCCAAGCAGAACATGCGTGACAGCTACAACACAACGACGACGACAAACGTGCCGACGTTGCACGAAACTCATTTCGATGATGCTGACCAAGAGCACAAGTACGAAAACTTTGATCCGAAGAAATTCAAGCAAGACATCAAGAAACAACACCTCGGATTCGGGGACAGCAACTACAACACCAATTACAGCAACGACATTAACAGGAACAAATATCCTGATCAGTACGACCTGGAGAGCGATAGAATGAAGAACGATAGGAGTGGTGTCGTGAGGCAGACGGATTACTACAAAGCCGGCAGCAGTGGCGCCTTGTCGGATTTACAGAGAGACAGGCTGTTGAAAGAGAGACAGGACAACAACTTGAACAATGCCACCTCAGATGTGAGTTCATTTTGATTATTTCTGCTGGTAGTGCTTGTTCTTTATTTCTGCTCTTTTTATTTATGTACATATGTTCGTATGGAGAATGTTTAATTTATTGTTGCAAAATTTATGGAAATGTGAACTTGCCCCTAAATGATTTTCAGTGTAGATATAGATTAATTTTTGTGTTTTATTTTGAAATTGAAAAAAAAACAAGCTAGATTGATTTAAAGTTTTGTTGTGTAATTAAGCATTGATTTTAGGTTAGCTGTGTTTGTCATAACTAATATTGGAAAAACTTTGTTAATGAAGGAGAACTATCCAGTTTCCAACCGACAAACCTTAGTAGGCAGCAACAAGCAATTATCTCAGCAACAGCAAAAACAGCAAGATGATAAACTATATGAACAGAAGTACAACACCATCCCCGACTTGAAGACCACCGTTGACAATGACACAAATCAATACAGAACGACGAAGAACGACATGAACAACATACGAAGCAGTGGGGTGTCTCCCATTGTTTCTCATGGCATTCCATACTTCAAGTCCAACATATCTGAGACTGACTCGCATGTCTTTGGATCGACCTACAGTGGCATGTCGTACGCCAGCAGTTTCGATCCTGATAATGTCGCTTTGTCGAGGCAGCCCATATTCCAAGGGTAACATTTATTATAATTATTTTTAAAATTTTTAATTTTGAAACAATTAAGTTTCAATTCGTCATTATTTTATTGCAGCTTTCTTGTAAGTTTCATGGTGGACGCTCGTGGTGGGGCCATGAGGGGTTGCAGGCATTCGGGCATCCGCATTATCATACCACCCGGCAGGGCAAGCCAACCTACCAGAGTCACTTGCAAACTCATCAAAAAGGATAAGGTTAATCATTTGATTTGATTTGATTTGACTGAACATCATTCATTAAATTTCCAACTAATTTATTTACGACAATCAGGTAAACCAACTCCCTCCATTGATGGAAGGGGAAGCCCTGGGGAGTAGGGTTCTTCTGATGGGACCTTCAGGGGCCAAGTTTCTCGGGTTATTATGTTTCTATGTTCATGCCTGTTGCATTTCTTTTTATCTAATTTGTAATTCCTTATCATAAATTGAACTGATTCAAATACCTTCTCTGCTCACGTTCTCTGAACATGAAAATTGCATAATGAAACTTCATAACACAAACAGTCCGGTGATACTTGAAGTACCACATTTTGCTTCCCTACGCGACAATGAAAGAGAAATCGTTGTTTGGAGGAGCGATAACGGAATGACCTGGAAAGAACATACCGAACTTGGTACCCTGGACGCTGTCATGAAAACTATCAGCGGCAGTTTCGATGGTAAGTCCTGATGACGATGATGATGAGGACGTTGATGATGACGTTGACGATTACAAGAATATTGGTTATGTTGATATTGAATGTAAAAGTGTTGACGATGGAAAGAATTATGAAAATTAATAATGAATGAGAAATTGCTTGACGATTTTTTCATACAGTTTTGATGGCTTTTGTTGCAGAAGAGTTCTATTAATTCTGTTTGGACACTTTATTATAACATTTCCACTTCAAAACAGACCTTGAAAGTGCAGAAGACTTATACCATCGTCGAATAACTCGGATAATATCAAACGACTTTCCAAAATATTTCGCCTTAGTGACCCGCATCAGACAGGATACGTCGACCCTTGGTCCTCAAGGAGGCGTCATCGTGTCCAGCATCATGCCACAAGTTCAAGCAGCATTCCCACCAGGGGCCCTCACAAAATCTATCAAGTTGTGTCTTCAGGTTGGGTAGTGGTTCATTAAACTGTTTTTGTGTTAATGTTTGTTGTACTGTGGTGTTTTTATTGGCATTTTCAGCATTTATTCTGGAGATTTTTCAACAGCCTTTGATATGTAGTTATAATTTTTGACGTTGTTGTAATAGCTGTACCTGAAGATGTTAACGTTTTATTTCAACTTTTCATCAGACCCAACGACTGCCTGTTGAATTTGTTAAGAAGATGGTCGGTGGTAGGGTATCAGTCAGTCCAATAGCAACCGTTGAACCACGCAGAAGAAAATTCCATCGACCAATCACAATCACTCTACCTTTAGATGCTGAACTGGTTGCTAACAACAAGAATATTGACAAATCACCATCACTAAGACTTCTCTGCAGCATGAATGGTTAGCTCATTTATTTCTCAATCATCGTTTTTGTTGTCTTCATTTTCATCACGTCAATTCATTTTTAAAATTTTATTCTGAAATTCGTTTGCTGTTAATATTGAATATATAAATGAGTAATTGAGTGGGTGGAGCTCACAAATAGACGGCGCATTATGACTTTATTACTTCATTGTGGGACCTTCTTCATGCAGATGGCATGACTCCAACAGAATGGGAAGACATCACTGGAACAACTCCCATGTCTCTCACCAACAATTGCATTTCATTCCCCATTGCTGTCTCTGCCAGGTTTTATTTATTATTTTTATCCTATGTTTATTTTTTGTCTGCCTCCTGTGCTAAAAGTTAATTTTTATCTTCATTTCAATATCTGTCCGCACATTTCTTTTTTTTTATTTCCGGTGGTGCGTGCATAAAGGTGTTTAGATGTCGGCATACAAACTATTTTAAGTAACTTTTATTTTTAGCTACTTTTCATGTTTAAACATTTTTTCCTCCGTTATTTATTTATTTACTTGTTTATTTTTTTTCGTCATCATTTTGCATGCTGTAACAGTTTCTGCGTCTTTCAGATCCTGATTTTTTAAAGAATAATAAAAAGAAAATTTCACAATTCATTGTAAATCACTTTTTTAAATTCTCCCATTTATCGAAAGGCTAATCGATTTCCTATAATTTTTTTCCTTTGTTTCTTAAATCAAGTAAAACTCGTAATTAGATTAAAATGCATTATTGATGAGATGTCTGCCTCCTTCTTACTTGACTGTAATTAACTTATTAATTTATTAATTTACTTAACTGTTTATCCCTTTTTATTCATTTTAATTTTTCATCTGGGTACCTGTACATTTTTTGTAACAATATTTAACATGTTGGCTGTATTTCGATGCAGTTCATAATTTTTTAGCTGAAACGTCTGGTGACTTCATAACAAAAGTTGTGAGGAATATTTGTTACACATATTCTTCGTATATGCTATTTTTCTAATCGAAGGTATTGGTTGATCAACACACCTCGCTACAAGGAAGCAGTTATGATTGCCACTCCAATGTTTATGGAAGCGTCTGCTGTTCCATTCGTTGCTAATTTCGTCGTCTTTGCTAAGAGGAGGGATCCACTTGACGGTGAGAGAGCCATTGGGTGGCTTTGATGTACTTGATTTTATTTTTACTGGTCGTCATTGTTTCAAAACAAAATCTATACAAAATGCAGTTTATATTGTTTAAAAATAAAAATTTTATGGCTTATTTGTGTGTTGATGTTGCAAAATGTTTTTTTTCACAGGTCAGCTACGCATTTTCTGCATGACTGATGATAAGATGGATAAAACTTTAGAATCTCAGGAGAAGTTCATTGAGGTAGCTAGGAGTAGAGACATTGAGGTGCATTCTTAATTCACAGCTTTTCACTTTTTTACCAACAATTCATTTAATTTTATTTCATTTTCAGGATTTCTCATTGCAGTTGCCAGTTTTAAACAACATATTATTTAACATTAATAACTTCTTCAATTGTTTCAATGATCTTGTTAGGTGTTAGATGAAAGGCCGCAGTGGATTGAATGCCATGGCAATTTGGTTCCAGTTTTGAAATCAGATCATGTAGACAGGCAACCATACATTAATTTCAGGTTCTCACTTATTATTTAGAAGAAAAACTGGTTTCTTTAGTTTTACATTGAATTAAAACAGATTTAATGCACATCTAATCAAATTAATTTATAAATTAGTATTTTCAAAACAATCTTTTTGACTATAATTTTATTATTGCCTTTAACATTAATTATTAAACGCTCCATTAAATTGAAAATAAATTTGATTAATTTTGATTGCAAATCTGACCGCAAATGATGGTAGGGCTTTCAAAGAGAATAGATTGTCATTGAATGTACGTGTCCGAGACCTTAGCCAGGAACCAACAGCCAACCTGTTGTTCATGGCTGAGCCGAGAGAAATCAAGGATCAACTGCCTCTATGCAATTTGAGCGTTGTTCTGCCAAGCATGGAGGAGCAACAACGACTTGATACGGCGAATGATGTCACTGAACTGCAGAAGAGACTGGATGAACTCAGGAAATTAGATTGTTAGTTGCAAGACTGATCTCACAGTTATGCAATTTTCATACTAGCAACAACGTATTATCTAGCTATCAATGTTTATGCATGCACTGAGTACGTACATCTTAGTTTGCTGCTGTTGATGTTAATGTACAAAAGTTTCTTAGTTGATGTAACTACAAACTAATTTTGTTTTCATGATTCACAGTGAATGACGAAGACCAGATATCGAAGACAGAACTTCGACTGACAGACATAGCTGAATATTTGGAAGATGATTGGATTCCACTTGCTTATCAGCTCCAAATATCTGAAGAGGATATTACTAACATCCAGTCAAAATATGGATATATCCCTGAACAGGTAAACCTTGTATCAGTCTGCTTTCTATGTAAAATGCTCTGTTTTAGCATCCCAATTTTATAATGTATGTAATTGGAATGATATGCAAATGATGAACAGGCCTTAGTGATGCTGCATTTGTGGATGGAGAGAAATAAAGACGTAGCATCGGGAAATGTGCTGGAGAAATCATTGAGGGAGATAGGGAGGGAGGATATTATTCAGAAGTGCATATTCTTCTTGCAAGATGTTACTGATGAAAATGAAATTAAAGAAGCAAAAAATGTCATCTACTCTTCATCAGGTAATGAGGCTTCAATTTATTCTTTCGGCTGCATTAGATCTTGTAAACAGATTTTTCCCCCATTCAAATTAAAAAATCGATAGCTATATAAATGAACCTCAATTTCAATTTTTAAATTTTAGCATTTTACATTTGTTTAAATTTTTGTTGGAGCTGGTATTTTTTATGTTATGCTATTGAGATTTTGTTTTGAAATGAAACTGCAGGTCATCCTGAATCACTACCAACCAGTGCAGTGAGCGATACACATTCCCCTGCTTTTCAAGGTTTCTTCATCATCACTCACTCTTCAAAACTCGAAATCAATTTTCCATCTTTTAATTTTGTTAAATGATTTTTCAATTAAAATTTAACTGGAAAAATTGCATGCAAGTGTAATTTTTAGTAAATTGAAAAAAGTTAAATTGTCTCTAGCGCTTCTGAAGTCAATTTACGAGAAGCGCTTGTTAAATTTTTTGGCTGATATTATTACTATTTTTCAGTATAACTTGCATTCATGTATACAAATACTCTGGTAGATGCTGAGATAACCCGGAATAAATTTTGTACCAGCGTTAAATACGATAAATCAGTAATATAATATATATAAATGATTTCTTCAAAATGCTACTCTAGTCTATAGTGGGGAAAAATAGTTATGGCCACTTGAAAATATCCCCATTTTTTCTCGAAATAAGTTTTTATTGGTCATTGATTTTCGGTAAAACGAAAAAACGGCATGCAAGAATCCATAGAGTGTGTGCAAGTTTTATTAAATATGAAACAGATGCCAACAAATAATTTTAAGTAAATTTTGCAACCATGGTATCTAAAAAATCTCTTATCGATGCTATATTTTCAACTTCTTCATATAAACAGGACATGAAATATACCAAATCATCTTTGAGAATGAAATTGCCAGTGTCCTCCTAATTAATAACTTTACCTGCCGTGTCATCATTTATGTCATCATCACACTTCAGGCCATGTGTTCTCATTTGACGGAAATGCACTTTGCTCGTGGTATGCAGCTAAAGAGCTATCAAAGTCAATATTGGCAGAACAAGTTGTAGCTCCACGTTGATGTTCATGATCTTTTATGCTGGCACCATTGCGATAACTACCAAACACTATACTTATGGAAATTGCTTCCATAATGATTTGACAGAACCTGTACATACTGCTTTCCTACATCACTGTACCATGCCTTCTTAATCCACTTCACTTTATATTAAATAACATCCATCTGTAATAAAAACAAGAATTGGAATTGACTTTTGTGTAGTATCAATAAATTTTATAAGTAACTGTTGTCAATGTTTCCAGAGAGATGTTCAGTTTTGCTACAGTTATTCGATGCTTATATCCTCCTCTATTACAGCCATCAGGATGTTTTATAAAATTTCGAAAATAATATGCTCTTCTTTACTTATTACTAGCTTGCTTGTAAATGTGTTATTGTGAAAATTTTTTAAGAACATTTACTTTTTTAATGATAAAAATTATACTAAAACGGACATGTTTATTTTGAAATCATTGTTTTTAATTATTTCAATAGATCATGATCCAAGCAGCAGCAGTTTACCACAAAATGCCCAAATTGATTCAGACGAAGGTTTTTTGTTTTGTTTTTTTTTGCCTAGAAAAGATTTTAAAAGTAGCTTATCCTATTGAGTTAAGTTTACACATAACATTTGATAAATGCATATGCGGTTAGTATTTAAGCATCAAACGAAATATATATTAAAGTATTTGTACTCTTTGATTGAAGTTTTAAGAAGGTTGATTAGAAACTAAGAGTATTGAAATACTACCTTTTAAATATGACGGTTTGCCTGAGTTGAGGTTGGCTTTAGGAAGGATTGGCTAGCTTTGGCTATCATTATTTTTTTTAAAAAACTTAGTTACTACACTTTACTATAGAAATAATCCTGAACTAAATATTGATAAATTTTAGAAATTGCTACCGTTCATCTTTATTTTCTATATGTCTTAATTGGTTAATTAGGATCAGTTAAAATTCAATCAAGAAAGCTATCTCGTTGTTCACTATTAATCAGATTATTAAGGGAATACTGATGTCTGTGTTTTTGTGACTCAGATTATTAAGATAATAACAGATTATTGCTATTGGCAACTTTAAACATACATATAGTTCTAATTGTAAGGTCAATAACAACCTTTGTTTGAGAAATGTTTGATAAGATATGTAAAAAATTTATTAAAAGTTAACTGGTTATTAATACAATTTGTTTTAGTTTTTATTGTTTAGACATTTATTTGCAGTTACCGTTATTAATTTATTGTTTTTATTGTTCCTATTTTTACTCAACTTCCGTTGACAAATTTTATTTTGATTTTTGAACTTTGTCATTCATATGTTTAAATGAACATTTTTTAAAATAAATGATTAATTAATCTAACCGAACTGACATTGATTTGACTAATGATATCTTTTTTTACCTTTATAACTCTATAATTTATTAGTTATAAACCTTAAGTTTTGCAAACACTTGCTTTTATACATTATTTGATTATTTATTAATGGCTTCATCGAAATTTTATTTAAAATTTATGTTACCACTAATATTTTATTTTCCATATATTTTTGATATTTGTATACAGTTTAATAAGGTTTTGTTTTATATGTTTATCACAAATTACATTATCAATGATTAAAAAATGTAAAATTGACGAGGCAGTAATTTTCTACCAAGTAGACATGAATAGATTGTATGTTTAGATGAGTTAATTCAAGAGTGACATGATGTTTTAACTTGAGTTAAGATAAAATTATGAGCAGGAAAGGGCAAGGTGTTAGAGTTTTGGTCTACACATTGGTAACGTTTATTGCTTGGTTCTGCTTAGTTTAGGCTTGAATAAGTGAGTCTATTCTATTAATATATATATTTTCGTAATCAATTTTGTTCGTTGTATTTTACGCTTTCAGCTTTTTCGGCTTGCTTTAATAATTTCATAGTTTTTGTTTTGATTCCATTTGTTAGTGGCTTTAGTTTCACTAACATAGATTTATCAACAGATCCTAAATTGAAATTCAGGTTCAAAGACAATTCCAGAGCAGATGCATCAAAGTACTAACAATAATCTCACCACATTCAATAAAGTCCCTGAAAGTGCACAAATTGTTGCTGAAAAGATACAAGTCATTCCCGAAAAAGTTCACGTCGTTTCTGAAGAAATGCTCATTGGTCCCAAACTTGTGTCTATCTGTTTTGATAATAAGAAAAATATAATCGAAAATGAACAAAAGTTCATTCAAAAAGGTGTACATGACGAACGAAAGATTTCCAATGAAATGGAAGATAATAAAGACAAAATTGAAAGAGTCTCTAGCAAACAGACTATTTCAGAAGAAATATGTACTGCTTCTAAAGACGTACAGACCGTTCAAGATGATGAGAAACAAAATTTAGTATTATCCCCTAAGTATAAAAAACCTGGCGTTGCTCCAAAAGCTTTCGAAGATTGGGTTGAATGCCAAGAAATGACTTATAATGTCAATGGGAATGCCCTGAAAGACACTAATTTCAAGAGTTCACTTGATAGGCAGAATTCGGAAGAGTTGAATGAAAGTGAGCTAGCCAGGCACATGCGCAAAACTCCATCTGCAGAGGAATTGTTGAGGGAAGGTGAAAAAGAAATTGAAGTGAGAGTGGAAATGGAAGATGATGATCAAGTTCTCGATGACGGAACAGTTGTAAAACGACAAGTTATTACGAGATCTCACGTTGCTATACCAGAAATAAGTTTAGATAATTTGGAAACAACACAGTTTGAAAGGTTGGTCAAAGTAGAAGTTGAGGAAGATGTTCTAGAACTACCTCCCGGAATAGCTGATCCTGGAGATGTTGACCCGGACACGGTCACATCAAAAACATACATAAGCAGAGAAACAGGATATTTTTCAGATTTCACACATGGTGAAAAGATACCATTTTATCGAAAAATAACAAAAACCGTTATTAATCTGATTGGTGAACGGAATCTTCCATCGAGTCATGATAGTCCTATAAAAATGCCCAAGTTTCTCTTAAACGCCGACGCACAGTTGGTTTTGGATTCAAATGCTGATGAGCTATCAGACGAAGCTGGCTTGATTGTTGATCGAGCCGTTAAATTAGCTCTTGAACAAATTCAGTCTGAAAGCGAACAATTAGGTGAATAGTTAGATATTTAGTTGTTTATATGCTTTCTGTAATGTTTCTTTCATTGATTCCTTATAAATTTCTTTTCACTTATAAAATATAACGATTTAAAATTTTGGGGTCTATTAGCTTCTTTTTTGTTTTTTCTTCTTAACATTAATTGAATCATCGTTCTTTAATTGTTAGATTTTTCCTTACTAAACTTATTTTAGCATGTAATTTTCGTTTGAAGGAGTATTTCAATAATAATACAGAAATCTTATTTTACAGAAGATTATGAGAACGAATTAGACCTTTCGAACATAGACAGCTCTGTAGCAGTTCGAGTTTATACAGACACAATTGAAAAAGAACCAGAGATTGAAACTGATGTGAAAGAATTTGAAGAAACTTTAGATGATGGTACAGTGGTTAGAAGGAGGATAATCAAGAAAAAAGAGAAACAAACAATAATCAAAAGGGTCGTAATGGAAGGTCCTGAAGATGAACTGCCAGCAGATGAACATCAGGCTCAAGAATTTCTCAGACAGGCAAGTTGTTTATTTCGCTATCTTTTCTACAAAAAATGTGATTTAAAAATTTGTTTTTTGAAATTTCGCTATAGGTCGATTACGATGACGAATCATCACTACCCTGGAACACATACGAGAGGCCAGAAAATGCTGAGAATACAAAAGATAGCAAGACAGAATGTGAAGAGTACGAAGATGTTCAAGAAGATGGCACGTTAGTGAAAAGGAAAGTGGTTACCACTACCGAGAGGCAGCTTACAACTGAAAGAGTGGTTCTGGAAGGTGATATTTCTTTGGATGAAGAAGATGATGAAAACTTACATTTTAAAGGCAGCGATTTTCGAAGCACTTCGGAGAGTAGGTAGGTGTCCAACTCGTGTTAAATTCGTGTGAGGTTTTAAACATCAAACATCAATTTTTATTCTGCTTGTAAATTTTTTGATGAAATTTTGTCCAACTTCTGGAATGCTACGTTTAATTGTATTGTACATCTGTTTTTAACAGTTTTATTTGATTCAGTTTTTTTTAATTCAATTCACATACGTTACTTGAAACACTCGTATCAGATTGAGTATTTCTACATTTTTGTTCTTTCTTACTTGGATTTTCACATTTTGGTTAATGTTAGTTTGATATGATCTTTGTTCTTTTTAAACACATTCGAAACATGCCCTAACTAAGGTGCGTTACTTTTCACTCTCAATACAAGTTTTTAATAGATGATTGCAACATTGTTTCACTAATGATTTGTTGCATTTAATTCACTTGACTTTTACGTTGCATTATGATTAGTTTTAAGCAGTGTGTCGGAGTCGGATAAAAAATATCCGGCCCCTCAAAAAATCCTACTTCGGGTAAAAAAAATTTCGACTTCGGGTTCCGAATTCCAGAAAAATTTGTGAACTTTTGCTTCTTAATTTCATTTTATTATCATTGTGCGGTTAGTCTTTAAGCATAAAAAACTCTTAAAGTCAGTAAATTTAATCGTTTCTTTCAGTAAAATTACATTATTTTTCTGTTTTAAAGCATACTGAAAAAATTTTTAAACTTTTGCATCATAATTTCACCTTATTATCGCTACAAAATAAAAATACTTTTAAAAACACTTAAAATATGTCAATGTAATTGTTTTTCTTTGTAAAATAGCTTTATTTAAATGTTTTATAACATACTGAAAGAAAATTATGTGATTGTATTCACATCATTAGCATTTATTTTCAGTATTAAAGATGGTTGCTTATCACTACATATATTTATCCTCAAAAAACAATCATAAATAATTTTTAAAAAATACATTTTTTTAAAGTAAATAACATTTTCCGGAGTCTGATAAAAAAATTGGGTCAATTCCGGCTAAAACCTCTGACTCCGACACTCTGGTTTTAAGGAAAAATTTTAAGAATCAGTATAATTCCAAAGATTAAAGTTTGTCAAATTCTAACTAATTAGTATGAGCTTTGTTATATCTTATTTTACTTCTACCAGGATCTAAGAATATTACGGCGATGTTATAAGAAAAAGCATGAAACACACGAAAGATTTTTTCAGTTCAGAGTTTCTTACTGCTTATTATCTAATGAAGTTGTTGAATGGCAATACGAAATAGCAATGAGAGATATGTTACAAACAGATAATATGCAATTCACCCCCAAATTCAAACCAGAAGAATTATATGTATCTATGCAAATTGTTGATCAATTAGTCGAAATTATGTTCATTCGTGTATAATATACTATACAGATATGTAACATGAAAGTAGCATTCCTTAATTTTTCATGTTTTCGGTTTTTTCAGCAAACTTGACGGCGATCATTTTAAAGACTTTTTACTGTTTTATCAAGTTCTTAGATTGTAGTTTCATTTCATGTAACGTTTTTTGTATTGTTCTTCACTTTATCTTATTCATGAGTTAAATGTTATGATGATAATTTATTTGATGAAGGTTAACTTACAACAGCTATTAATTGTTACTTGAAATTATATATTGGGTGTTCATTATTTTTCACATTTGAAAACAAAGTTTACATATTTCTTCTACTGGGTTAAATGTTTTTCAAAAATATGTTTGTATGTGCAACGTCCCAGCCCAGCGAACCTGGGAATATATCATCGGAGGTCAATAACGTATCGTATATCACCTTTTTAAATTAATCATTAATATGTCCTTATCAAATGATACATTTCATTTTATTGCAAACAGATTATTTAATTTTCAACACATTTTGGAGTAACGTCTGCTCAACCGAGTTTTAAACGCACTAACATTTGATTTGCATTATTTTCTTAATTGAATAAATGAGACAGAATCACTTTTTAAAAGTAAGATATTTTAATTTTCTATAGATTTCAATCCATTCCGGCTTTGTTAATTAACCATCCACAATTTAACAGATTATTATTATAAATTGTTCATGATTCATCCGATATCTTGAATCGTTTAGAATTTTTCAATAGCTTACATAATCACCCGATTATTTCCATTTTTATATGGTTTGAAAATAAATGTTATGACGATAATGGTGCGGATGTTAGAACAAAAATGAATGTTAAATTATTACAATAAACTTTGATGTCTTTAAATAAGTTATTAAATAATTTTCACAAAATTCAACTTGTAAGTGAGTGTGATTGTGGCTTTCGTAAAATGATCATTTCAAGGTGAGCATTTCTCTAAATATTTCATCTGATTGAACGAGATCCAGATCTAATATTTTTATTTTTCGCTTTCTTTCATCGGATTCGTATATCTGCACAAAATAATAAAAATGCTCATTTGAGTATTTTTGACATTTTTGAGTATTAATCATGTGGATTTTTTCACTATAATTTAGCCGAGAAGAAAGTTAATTTGTTAGTTTCATAGATTAAATAAATGGATGGCACGTACCTGCAAAGTTATCCTGCACCTCTCCAGCAAGTAGTTCCATTTGATCCTCGATCTTGTTTCGTAGTCTAGCGCTTCAAACATATCAGCCTACCAAAAACGAAATATTTTGTTTTATCAAACGTTTTTGGAGTTGCATGATGGTGTCATTTTTTTCACGATGTAAAAATAGAAAATAAAGAATCTCAATGAAGCATTATACAAAAGATACACAAACCCACGGCACCTTCTCAAAATAACAAAAAAGTTTGTTGAAAATTTTAATATACTCAGGCTTCGATCGACAAACAACAATAAAATGATATCTATTGAAACAAGTATGTGTTAAACCGGACATCCGATCATTTTGTCAGTAACATCGCTAAGAAGGATGCAGTTGAGAGTTCCTGTGCGATCCATCACCTTGATACGCATGTTGTAAAATGGAATCAGCTGGCCTGCGTCGTTGTTGAGGTACGTTGATAGTGTTGAACAGGATTCACAAGCCAATTGATCTCTGTCCATTATTCTGTTGCACTGTCCACTTACGTTTATATATATATATAAATATATATATATATATATAATGTTAATACATGCTGTGTTGGTTTTTTTTTGATTTATTCAGGTTACTTTATAAGAAATTGAAGGTAAAACAAAAAGATAACATTTAAAAAATCGTTCTAAAACACAACAAATGTAAAAAAGACGGAAACATCCAAAATATTAATATATAGAAAATGCAGGAATGCAAAAAGAATGATTGACTAATGAAAGCAAAAACCATTTAAAAGAAATCACTGGATTGACAGTGTAATCATCGATGTTGAAGGAGGATATGACAGCAAATACAACACAATACATCTCACTCCTTGATTGCTGCACATACAATTTAATATTTCTAACGTCCATTCGAGCTGTTATGCATTTCACTGTTTTTGAGTTGTCAAAATTAGTTTATTCGTGGATTATTGATCTCCGTGTAGACATTGCAGATGATAAGACGTAATATAACAGGCACCAAAAGTTTCAACTGTTACAACTGATTAAATTATCTGTTTTGGTTTGAGTAATCAAAGAAAAACGTACAAGCGCTGGGATCAAACATGACGTCACAATCTGCGACCCTAGATGAAGGCTGTGGGCAGTTGATGTCCACCGTTTTGGCAAATCTTGACAGTAACAACGCTTCTCTAGTTTCTGAATATTTACATCAAATGCTTGCTTTCGATGACTTTTATATGCAAGTAAAAATAATATAAACAAGCGTAGTATAGTTGAACAGAATGATTATTGCTTATGCAATTTTCAAAAATTGAATAATTTTATATGTAAAAAAGGGGATTTTGATGATTTTATGAAGCATCTAATTTGACGGAACATTAACATATGCGTGCGTTGCGTATATTGGTACAATGAATAAAGCAAGCTAAAATGAATAAGGTAAACCGAACACTCAAAAAGTCACGGCAGTAGCGCGGAATTTGTTTGTTCAGATTTATTCCTGAAAAAAGTCACCATAAAATAGATAATAGTGTAACTTTCAACTGATTCAAGTAGAAAGAGAGACGTCCACCTATCACATAAGTTATTTTAATTCTCAAGTCAAGTTGTTTTTAATTCGCAACGTTTTAGACAGCCTTGCTGAGAATTAATAAATTAAAAGATATAACACGTTAAACGAAAGGTCAAAGTGCAACCGAAAAACCTCACTTTGCCATCTAATTTCTACGGCTTCAGTGTTCCTTGCCATTTTTGAATTTTTCAGTTATTGTACAAATATTTTCTTTCGCGAGGCACTTATATTTTAAAGAACGCAGTTTTTAATAAAACTCAGATCATACTTGGATCATAATCGCTATCTTGCAACCTTTAGAAACAGGCAAGCGTGTCTTGCGTACCGTGCATTTAAACGGGAACGCAACGCGGTTTTTCAGAGATTAAAAGATTCCTTCATTAATTATTTTACGTGTCCCGAGGGTGCAATACAGCGAATAGAATTAAATAACGTTGAATCCCCAACAACGTTCAACGAGATGGCAGTTAAATTTTAACGCGTAATTAAAATAATTTTTTTAAATCTACTAGCGTCAATTATACTACCACTACAGCAAAATGAATTGCTAAACCTGTTTGCAGAAATCAAAGTAATTAAGTTGCAGAGGCTAATTAAATAAATTAAGTTTATTATGTCGTGCATTTAATTAAATAATGTATTATTATGTAACTTGTTTTAATGCGACCACTCAAAAACTTGGAAGCAAAAAGGGAAAACAAATGGAAGCAATGCCTACCGGGCATGACTGTGATGATGCTTCGAGTGGTTGTCATCACAACCATTTTCTTCCTGTAACTGTCAAATGAAGCTTTCACGTCAGCAGCAAATATCACTTAAATTCAATATAATAGTTTCATATGAAAATCTTGAGATATGATTTGAATAACAAATATATTGAAGCAGATAAATCTTAAAAGCTAAATATTTATTTATAGCAGATATTTTGAAAAAAGTAACGGCAGACGAGAATCAAAAATCTTTCTCAAAAACAATACCAAAGAACAATGGCTAAACATTCAACAGCAAGAAAAGAGCAATAAAAATAATGCAATAAACGAGAGTAGTGGTGCTAATGATACAACGAACCAATTTCTTTTGGTGTCCATTGTGCTGCCAAGTTGATCCATTCATCATCCCACCTGCGTTGTTAGGGTGTCAACTGCTAGTAACAGGCATTTACTACATACATGCCATCATTATTGTATTCGCAAATTTTTAATTCACATAACGTATACAATTGAAATTATTTTTTAGAAGTGTACCTTCCCAAAGAAAAGATTTTTTGTTGCATGAAGTTTGTGCTACATGCTGCATGATGTCATCCTAGTGTGCTTGTTGGACTAAGTTTTGTTTTATTTCTATTTGAAAATGCTTACATATAAAATATTGTAAGCTAATATGCAAATATGCTGCACATGTAAATAACTTTTTCTGTTTATATTTTTTATGACTATCATTTTTCAACGAAATTATACAATACTTAAACATTGTCACGCATTTTAAAAATAACCCCAAATAAGTCGTTAAACGTTCAAAGTTGAAACAATGCTTTAACATTTGAAAAAATGCGAGCATGTTGCTTACTATAACCCTTCTTTAAATAACTCCTATAAGATAAATGGTTTTTGTCTTGGATGTTTATCATCATCATACATCAGGAAAATGGGAGCAGCTTGTCATACTCTAATGAATCATCTACAGTGAACATAGATGAACAATTAGTCTACCCACACTACATCAGAGCAAAGCTATTTTAAAGCTAACGCTCAATGCTTCACGGTTAGAACCGTATGTAAACATTTTTCTGTTTTTGTATTCTCAGAATAAAAAAAAATTTTTAAAGTTATTACAAATTTAATTTAAATTAAACTTAAAATCAAATAAAAAACGACGAAAACTAGAGCTTTTCCGTCGGAACTTAATTACGACCCAAGTTTAATGTTGTGACGCATTGTCATTTAAAAAAAATTATTAAGCTTCAGTGTTGAGGCTCATGAGATTTACGTAAAAAAGCAACAATAAAATAACAAAAATGTTAGAAGTAATATCTTCGTATACGTATGTACTTCCCATGCACCTATTAACAAACAAAATCGATCCTAATTTCTTTAGTTTTTCATAGTTCCTGAGAAAAGCAGAAGCAAGATAAATCATTAAAAATATGTTCTATAAGTTTATATACTATAAGTTTATATAACAAGAAAGGACAATCTACCAGCGGAAACAATCATTTAAATACGTTGAAATGAGTGATGCCTTCCATTTATTGGCCGTTTCATTCACATTATCTAACGTTGGTTATTGTTTGCTGAGGGCCTTTTAACTATGTTTTGTCTCTATTTGATAAAGGCTTTTATTTGCTTACTTGTCTGGTTACTTCCATTTTTAATGAAAAAACATGCGAGTTTTAACCAGAAATTAATTGCGGTCTCTTTTTTTGAATCATTTGATAAATTTAATGCCTAATTCCAAACAAACTGGCATAAAATCTTCCATCAAAATTTTCTAACAGTTGTTAACCCTCAGCCTTCAAACCATCCTACCAACTTTTGCCACCAATTCATTATAATGTCATTCATTTTTACTAAAATGTTTTAAAAAGAATAAATTAAATATAATTGATAAATAAAAAAATAAAAATGTATAACAAAATAAGACTCAATTCAGCGTCAGTGTCGTCAAAAACCTTCACTTCACATCTTCTCATGCTCTTGCCTGCCTTTGTCATGCACTCCCTGATGCTTCCAACCTGGGTTATAAAACGTGAACAACATTTCAGATGGATAACACACATGTAACAAACAAATTTTGATGTTGGTGGCAGATCAACCACTCAATGCACATCTGACTCATTGGACATTATTGAAATCAAAATGAATTAGATAAAAGAAATAAATGCAAATATTATTGCAATTTTCATTGTTAAAAAAGCTGCCATGTCAGTTTTCATGCAATCAATCAAACTGGTTTATTTAAATTATCATGATGCATCTTGACTGGTAAACTAAACAAATCGGTATTTTTCACAAATTATAAATGAATTAAACAAAATTGGTTCATAATAAAAAATACCAATCACACGTTCTTCCGAACAGAGGTAGGTTGAACATACAGGTATTTGGTTGATATTTATTACATTGAATGAAAAGCTTAAAGTGATAAATAGAATAAATTAATCCAAGACACCTGTTTGACAACTGCTAAGACAGATATGAAACGATCTTTCAGATTAGACCCATGCGCATGAATATCAAATATTGTATAGTAATCATTATGCCTCTTCACTGGCACTGAACTTAACTTCATATAATATGATTCATTATCACCATGGTACTCATTCATTGTACCCTTTTGTTCAAACAGGTTCAAACAATATAACCTTAAAAAGAAATAAATATAAAATGATATATCACAACTGACAAAATAGAGTTTGATTTTTATAAAATGATTTTCAACAAAAGAGAAACAAAAACAATAAAAAAAGATAAATTTTTGACCCAGGAGTAAATGGCTTGAATCTTTCGTGTGATCCATCCATTGGTTTTGATTGAACAGCAACATTATCAAGCTCAACTGAAACAAATCAGAAAAGTAACACATCATTCATCAACAAAACTATACATACTCTATATGCAAAATCCTTCCTCTGATTACAACCATCTATTTAAAGTCTGAAAAAAAAGAAAGCACATAAAAAATTTGTTGTTATACCTATATCTCCAATATGAAATTGAGTGACAATTCTTTGGATAAATTGAGGCTGTCCCCAGCATGATACATTTATGAAATCATGGATTGAGTCTCTTATAGTAATGTCCACCACATACTTTGTGTTTGAATCTAATTTTAATAAAAAACAAAGTATGTCAAGAAAACATATTACCTTATTATTTGTTTTTTTAACAATGCAGGTAAAAGAGAAATGTTTTAGTTAGGCATTTTTCAAATTGAACAAAATTAAAAAGTTGAATAAAATTATATACCTTTTTTGCTAATAAAATGTTTAGATTCTCCTTTATGTATTATGATTCCAACAACTTTCTTTTAGAATGAATAAACATTTGGCTTGATATTTATATGTTTCATTGTTCATGCCAAAAATTATGTAAAAGTTTAATATTTAATTTAATTGATTCTAATCCAAACTATCAATACTTATATTTCCTACCAAAATCTATTTTATTAATTCTACCGACTGGGATAGAAAATTGTTATAATCCTAACTTAGTTAAAAAAATCTTAATCTGGTTATTTTTTTAGTTTAGAGAAACTGAGAGGTGACATAAAGGATCAACTACCCTACAATCATTGATTTAATTAATAAATTAAGGTTAACATTCTCAGGTAATATTCTATAAGATAAGTTACCCTAGTCTAGATAGATCGTGTTTCAGAGTAGCAGTAGAGATAAAACAAATAATTTTTTAAAGTTTAAATTTTAACATGAAAAATTGAAAATTAAATAAATAAATATAATAAAATGAAATTAGAGTTTATGTACAAACCGGTCTCAATATTCCAGGATTTAAATTAGAGATAGCAGTAATACTTTCACTTGGAGATGTCAAGATGTCATGCATTTCTTTGAACGTATCGCCGACATTCATCCAATTATTATTTCTGATTTCAGGAACTTCTTGAAACGAAGATTTGGTTTTATTCTGCTTGTACCACGCCATATAGCTGCCTTTCAAGTTGAAAGAGTGATGTTGGTGATTCTTATTCTAAAATCTTTACCAATTAATAAAAGTGAACAATGTGACAAAAATTATCAAGAAAAGACGCAACGAGCTACCAAAAAATGCCTTCAACGGAACATCGTCCGCTTTGCAAAGTTTTTATATAACCAAAGACACAATTTACTTTTGTCATTATCATAACAAATTATTTCAGAAATTCATTTGGTCTGGTAATAAGATGCAGTAAAATAGCGATAAATACTCTAATCTTTAATCAAAATTTAATAAGAAATGAGTTTATCATAGGACTTATAATAAAAGAATTAATTAAATAACGAATTTATATTCATATTAATGAAATTGCGAGTTTGTTCATCAGCCAGTCGTCTTGTTTTCATTCAATCTCTTAGAAAATTGTCAAATATAATAAATAGAGTCGGACCTCAGAACAAAAAGTTTGATGCTTTCATTAAAAATTTTGCTATATAGAAATTTCGTTCCTCCTAAATTTATGAAAAACAACCTTTTAATCATTTTGTTATTGAAAAAAGTAATAATACATAGTATAATTGTAAAAAATATGAAAAATTACATTTTATTATATGTATATAAATAAATTATATGTAGGTATATAGCAGACAGAGTATAATACTCAAAACAGTAACGCAAAAATAAATAAATTATATGTAGGTATATAGCAGAAAAAGGATAATACTCAAAACAGTAACGCAAAAATGTAACATACAGTTTACCACGTTCAACAATTTTTTTTAAATTTTCGGTTATTTTTTTACTTTTATAAGTTTTGTTTGTTATAGAGAACTTATTTTCGTTCTATGGAAACAGTTTTATATGTAAAATTCCATTGCACATTAAAAAGTTCGTTATAATGAGATTTTCGTTGAACATATAAGTTATATGGAGGTCTGGCTGTAGTTTAGCAATCAATTAAAAACGTTTTTTACGCGTTTTCTTTTGTTAATTATTATTGGGTAAAATAATTAATCACTAATCAATCAATTTATTTATTACTGAAGCTCCGTTTTCGCGATCTTCAACAACGCTCCTCAAGAAATTGTACAAACAAATGGGTCTTGAGGTCCGCTCTGATCCGCGTAAGCTATGAAAAAACAGTTAGTGAACGAGGAAGAAAGTTCCAGAAAATTAAAATTATTCTTTATTTCATGTGTAAAAAAAAGTTATAGAAAAATTTGAAAGAAGACATGGAAACGAGAAACCAAAGGGGCTTCACATGAAAGTTTTTATTAAGAGATGGTACCTATGTAGATAAGAAACAAGAACATCGAACTAATGAAGTATCAAGCAAGAGAAGCCTAAGATCATCAAAAAACAGTCTAATAATTTTTCTCACCATTTCTATTATTTTGTTAATGGAGTAAATGATAAAAATTTTTTGACAACTATTAATATTTTTCATCAAAAAAGTAATGAATGAAGAATTTTAATTTTCGGAAATGTTGAAAAAGACATGTACGTTTAATTAACTTTAATGACGACTGCAGTAAAGTAGGCGGACAAACTGAATATTTGAAAGAAAAAAACATTTTGCGTACGAAAATTGATAGTCGTCTGGAGTATCGCTGGCAAGTGCATTGATTTGGCGGGAAATTAATAGCAGGACGTTGGTATAAATTACTGAATGGACACTTGTTCAATCTTACTTCCTTCTCAAGAAGTTTAATTGAAAATTCTCGTGAAATCAACACGAAACTTCTCTGCTTAAAAAGTGCTGAAATGAATATTTTTAACTTTTATAACGTCGAATCTTTAATAAGGTAAGACTTGATGAAAGAAAATGCAAATTAAAAAATAAATACAGATAATTTCCAATCAATACACATACATACTTATATTCATGTATGCACCTACCCACAAACAAAAAGCTTAGACATAAATATAGAAACAAAAAACAAACATAGACAGACATACACAGAGAAACATGGAAACATTAACACCTTCAAACATACAAAGCTCCTGCAACAAGAGATTGTTTCGTGGTTTTGCAGCTATATAACATTGCTTGGGATGAAGTCTCGTGAGACCTTCAGTAACGCAGATAGTTGAAAAAATTACGCTGGAAATAAACGGAGAAAGGAAATGACGTTTTGCATTTGTTGTTTTGCTGGTGAAGTCATCGCGTGTTTTTATGGAGTGATAGCATTTTCTTCCCTCAAGCTCTTAATACAATTTTATTGACAATGTTTTTATTTTATTTTTAATTAGTGATACAAGTAAACTTTGTAAATTAGTTTTGTTTTTCTTAAATTTCTACGTGAACTAATTGTAAATATAACAAAAATTTATTAAAGGAAATTTATTAAATTCTTTTTAAATGCTAGTGAATGTTTTTAAACTATTTAATCTAAACTCTAAAGCAACACAAAAGAGTTGATTAAATCGATTAATTCACAGGTGTCAAAAATTTTAATTAAAAAGGTATAAAATAATTTGACCTTTAACCATATTTTAAATTTCAAAAAAATTGTTGAATGCTGAATGTTGAATGAAAATAATATCATTGACTGTTTCAAGCCATCAATCGCAAACTGCCTTCTTTCGCTTCACCTCTTTTGGCCTTCTGATGCTAATCTTTTTCTTCGGCAAAATATTTTTTATTCATGCCTTTGTAATGGTTGACCTTAATTGAATAATGATTTTTGTCACGCTTTTACATTAGTCAATTACCTTTTTGTATTTGTTTCTGAAAATTAGTAAAGTAATTCAGTTGGTAGATAGTGCAAATAATTTATTCGCAAAAAATAAATGATAATGATAATAAAAACCACTTATAAATCTATTTAATATTATTAGTTAAAATTTTGTTGAAATTATATTTGGAGAGTCATTGAGACTTGAAACCCCAACTGTTGTCACGTACAGTTAAATAAACTACAGCGAAAAAAATTCCCAGTGAAAGAAAACAAAATTTGATTATAATTTGGTTATATCTAATATTTTTTTAAACTCAATATTGAATTGATTTTGTAAGAAATTTTGTAAAAAAAAATTATAACCAGCAACAAAAATATAATTTTCTCAATTCCCAACTTAATCCACTTAAAACAACAGATATTAATAATATCTGTGCAAATGGCTTAACTGTGAGGTTAGGTTGTATTGCCTTTCATTCTGTCAGCAAATACTTTTGCTTTTTGTGATCCTTCATTTCAGCTACAAAAATAAAAACGTTGAAATACTATTTTTTAATTACTTAAAGTATAAATAATGCAGAAAGCATTTTTTTCGTTCTGTAGTTTTACATTTGCTAGGGTACCTAACATGAATTTTTCAACAGAATCTTGAAACCGGATGAAAATTTTTCTGAATTAACTCAAATGTATTTTGTGTTTTCATAAAATTTTGCTCGTTTGAGTAGTCAAGCAAAAACAGGAGGTGACTTTTTTATAACTGTAAAATATTCAAAAATTGCAAAAGTATAAATGTAAGTTCGTTTTATTGTGATAACGAAATAAATGGAACAAAATTGATCAAATTTTTATAAAAATCTTAGAAAATGGCTGTTGCACTGCGCGAAACATTTTTTGAACGTTTGGATGCTTTTATAACGAAGCAAGTCGGTCACACCTCAACTCAAAACGTCAACACATCCCTTCATCGTCATCAACAAATCCAAGTGTTTCAACTTTTGTTAACTTATTTTAAAGCCAATTGTCATTTATTTATTTATTTACAAATTTATTTCATTTCAAGTGCCTCTGTTTTATATGCAGTTGAAATGTTGTTGAGAAGAAATAAACTAATCAGATTATGACACCGGACATCTATGTTACAATTCGTTGCCTTATCATATTCAGCTAAAAGGTCAGCCATGCTAGATGTTACTGTTTTAAATGAAACAAAAAGTAATAAATAAAAAATATTTGGAGCATTCAAAATATAAATTAGGACAATTTTTAACCTCGCAAGCCAAACAAAAAATTATTCCCGGTTTGAAATAAACCGCGAGAGTAATGATTACATGCCATCTCCCACCGGGCCATCCACCCAATAAAGAAACACATCATCATGCGATGATGTGAACACTGAAAAAGTTGCAAAGTAGGGACCAGAGGGCAGTAAATCGAATTTCAACATGAAATATTCTTGTTAATTTTCTGTGCATTACAAAATCTCTAACGGGTCCAATCGTGCATCTCAAGCATTCTTCGAGATGTTTTTTTTTTGCTTCGTTTGAATTCCTCGCAAATGTGATCTGAAGTTAAGAACATGATATAAATACCAAAACTTTTAGGTTTGGATAACATCGTCTTACTTGTCAAAATTGAAATTTTTCATTTCACTGAATTTGTGCTAAGCTGCTGGCAAGAAGTTGGCACGAGCGCATTAAAAATAAATGGAACATCTCGCATTTCAAAGAGTAATCCACACAAAAAAGAATAAAAAACATCTCATTTACCCACCATTTCGTATGATGCAGATGACATTTTTAAATTATTCAACGCCACATTGCACACGAAATTAAATGTCAGAAAAGTTGAGGAAAAACCATTCAAACGATGTTTAGGTAATAATAAAATGAGAAGCAGTTTACGCGGTGTCTTAACTAACTTTTTCACTTATTGACAATGCAAATCTACCGACAATTATAACACATCAACAAATACAACAATACTATCAATAATAACCTCAACAATGCCACCAACAAAAAACAACAACAAAATCATCGTCATAAAAAACCACCAAGCTATAAGCATAAAGCACCAGCAAAGAATAGCAACAAAAACAGCAACACTGCAACAACATCGAGATCACCAACAACGACATAAAAAACCTTCAATAGTACGAAACATAAACTTCGTGAACATTCGTTATCAGAAAAATTTTAAATACTATTTGAAATTGAACTATACCACCGGCCACATAATCGTTAAAACTACTAAAATAATACTTATTTACAGTGTCAGAATCGGAGAGTTTTTCCTGAGTCTAAATTTTTTGAGGGGCCGGCCGGATATTTTTCAAGTTTTTGAACATTCATAATAAATTATTTATTATCATATGTAAACACATTCAGAGGTCGCCAGTAGCAACAAATCATTTCAAAACGACGCAATTAAATTTTCTTTGGGTTTGCAATTTCTTAATTTTAAAAGTTTAATTTTAATTTCACAATGTAATTTGCTGAGAATAAATTTTTAAAATCAAAATCAAAATCGATATGAATCGTTAATAGATAAATTTCTCGGGTATATACGTACAGCCTACATAACCTTTTAAGTTCGAATACTCGTTCCGCAATTTAATCCTACATTTATTTTATAGTCTTTAGTAGACATCGATTGCACATAGGAAACAAAGAAATAAACAAGTCACTTAATTATTTATACCTCCATTTATAAGAAACGCAATGGTTTCAAATCCAGATTTTAATTCCGAAGAATCCCAAAGCATCGGTAAGATTAAGATCCGTTGAATCAAACGCTGGTTTTTAGGAAGTTAAAAGTCCTTGTGGGGGCTGCAGTCCCAACCGCCAGCACCTGCTCTCCTCTCCATTTTATAATAAATGACAAATATTTAATGAATGAATTTTAATTTTAAAGACTAAAAATTTCTAACTGAAGATGTTAATCAAAAAAATGTTGGTTTCATATATAAATTGCCCGACACGAATTGCAGAGGTTGCATATAAATATCGGCATGAATAGTATGCGATGCAATAAATTATTTATGGCAATGTCATTCATGTATGCAATAATTTAGTGTCATAAGCTCATGGAGCGTAATGAAGCTTAAAATAAAATTTCTCCAATCTTCAGACTTAAGCAGAGTCATCATTTGTTGAAGCTCACGGCTCCGTTTGTCTCCGTTTGTCTCTGTCTGCCTGTCTCTGTTTGTCTGTCTGCATGGTTGTATGTATGTGTTTATGTTTGTATGTATCTATGTATGTAAAAAGCTATGTGTAAGTGAAACGGCATTGCATACATAAAATCAAAAATGTAACATAATAATTATAACAAAAATAAATGAGCTTTCAAATTCTTCTTGAAATCTTCAAATGTCATCCCTGATATTCTCATTGACTTCGGACTGTTCCATGCAACCGGTCCTGGAACTGCGATGTCTCTTGATGCTTTCTGCAACTGAGTATCAAAAACAACTAACGTCATACCACTCGTTATTACTGATTATTTTAAATAATCTGGGAGCAAACCATGTGCAGCTTTTTACATTAAAACATACAATTCTTTTCTATACTCTAGGCCAATGGAGGTCTTTTAAAAATGGCGTCACATGATTGTATTTTGAACTACCTAAAATAAATTTGGCTGCTCTATTTTGAATAAACTGGAGAAAAGCAATAGATTTTTTTTGACAATCCATGAAACAAACCGTTGCGGTAATCCAGTTTCGAGTGCACAAATGCATGTAATTTTTGACAGATGTTGCCATGTACCAATAGGGAAAAACAGCAATTTTTGTTGGTTTAGTCTTAGACAATTGTTTGTCGAATCATCATCTTTAGTCAAACATTCAACAAATCTGTCTACCTCACTCTGAAATGTATCTGATCACCACTAATAATATTTGGATGCCATCCGCATAAGCATGATACTTGAAACCAAAAACATCATCTCTTTGATAACCTCTGCAGTGTATAATATTATAAGAATAGGCCCCGGGACTGAACCCTGCGGCACCCTAGAAGACATCACACCTACAATTACATTAGACAATGAAAAGGGTTTGCTGAGTCTTTCCTAACAGATAGGATCGTAACCCCTTGAACACAATTTCAGAAATGCCGAAATTCAGAAATGAACTAATTTGCCTAAAAGTATCGAATGCTGCACTACATACATACATGTATGGATGTAGGTATGTATTTATGTTTGTATGCATGTGTATAGGTATGTTATGTATGTATTTATGCGTATATGTATTTATTTATGTATGTTTGCCTGTACAGTTTGTGCATTTGGACGCGGGTTTAATGTTTGTAAACAAAGCAATAGTTGCATGTTGTATGTAATCTTGTAAAAATCATCAGACGGCCGTTTGTCTTGTTTTTTAACATGCTTGATAAGCTTTCATTGCTGTTTCATGATCTGGATGTGCAATAATTCTGATTGGAGCAAGTCATCTGAAGCTGTAGATCTCGCCAATTCATCGCTAATCTCGGGGAATGTTTTGTCGAATCACTTATTGGGAAACGTTTGGACAATTCTATTCGGCTGAGAAAATCAATCATAGATTTTTAGAACAAATTTATAGAGTTGGATGTTGTAAAAAAAAGAAGTGAAAGACTAGGCAAAGTAAAGATGACAAAAGGAGCGTTGTCATCTGCGCCTGGGCGAGTTAGACAAGAAAATACGAAACTTTGGTGACATGTGCTCAAGGTCCGCTGCTCCAGCACATTCTTCGAACAGCTCAAAAATACTGTGTGAACAGTATTTTTGTCCTATTTGAATATATAATTTGAAGAAACAGGGAACAACATTTGCATACAATTTATTTCGACATTTTATTATATTGATAATAGAATTAAAATCATACTTATATCGAGTCTGTGCGTGTCTCTACCTGCCACCGTTACTCCGTTTTGTACGTTATCTCATTGCATATAAAATGCTTAATGCATGTTTTAGTTGAAAAACTATATTTTCGAAAAAATTAACTTTATTAAAATTGATTTATATAGAAAAATTAAATAGGAGCGCAGAATGCACCCATGTACCGGGAACGTAAGTTTTTATTAAGCATCAATTGAGTGTTAATCGAATATGATACTGACACTATGTCATACAGTCAGGCACGCAGTAGCGGATCGAGAGGGGGTGGCCGGGGGAAAAGGTCAGTGCCCTCCCGTAACGAACAGTTGTTGTCAGTAAAACTTAACAGGAAAACCACTGTTTTTTTAACCAAAAATTGACGAGATAAACAGGAAAAAGGTCGTTTTGGCCACATTGCCACAAATGTTGGCTTCCATCCAAACTCGAACATTACCACATATGTTGGCCTCTCCGTCAAAAGTTGTCCAGATCCGCCACTGTACGCACTTATGCACATTGTGCATGTATGTATGTGTGTGTGTGTGCGCGTGTGTGTGTGCTGTAGTGTGTGTGTGCTAAAGCGTGTGTGTGTGTGCTAAAGCGCGCGCGCGCGCGTGTGTGTGTGTATGTGTGTGTGTGTAGCATCTGCCGTCATTATTTCATACGTCCCAGCAATTATAATCTATCATTCGCAAGGATTCAAAGCAAGGAAATATTTACAACACTTCAAAGAATGAGACAACATTACAAAATGTGTAAGATGATTGTTTGCCGACGTTGCTCGCTCTTCGCTGCCTGACATTTGGGTGATGCATAATAAAATAAAGCTGGAAACACTGCGACCATCTGTATACGTGGAAAAATGTAAACAAAAACGACGTCACATAAAAAAATGACGTCACCGTAGGCATTTGCAGCGAAAAGTAAACAAAAAATAAAATGATAACAATGATATTTTAAATGAAATATCAAAGACAAATTTAGGAACGAAATAAAACCTTTATGAAATAATAAAATCAGATTAAAAATAATAATCGCAACAGTTTTTAACAGCGAAAACAATGACAGACAGCAACTGCATGAATCACGTCAAAACAGCAGCCAAATTTGCTATCCCATCAAAAAGAGCTTTAGGAACAACAAAACTGCCGGACAAATAAAAAAAATGATGTTATTATTGCTGTTGTCATCGTATGATAATAATAATAAACATCACGTTCATTTGTTATTTTACCATATCATAATTATTATTAATGCCTGGAATGGTAGATCTAGTTTTATATATATATATTTTTTATGTATTTAAAAAATAATATTATTTTACGTAATGTGTTACTCATAACTTCAGGGAATGTTTGAAAAATGTAGAGTCAACATTTGATTAAATAAATTGAAATTTGAAAATTATTTGATAGTATCATTGAAACGATTCTGTTGAATGTTAGATAATGTAATGATGGAGATATATTTATTTTGGATCCATTACAAGCATTTCTGGGCGGATGAAAAGCTGTGAACGTCAACTAAACTTAATGGATTCTGTCTGTAACTAATACTAAAAAGTTATAAAATGAACGTTATTATTAATAATAATAATAATAATAATAATAATAATAATAATTATACTACTACTGCTACTACTACTACTACTACTACTACTCCTACTACTACTACTATTACTACTACTACTACTATTACTGATTTTAAAATGTGATCATTTCATGTTAATGTTAGGATCAGTCACTTCAGATTCAAAGTTTTCAACCTTTTTCTTCTGAAAAGTTCAAAAACCTAAAAAGAGAAATTGAATTAGTAAAAAAATTATATGATGAATAATTTTTCAAAATTCATTCCGTCTTATGGCGAAATGAAGAGTAGCTAGCAACAACAACAATAACATTTCCGTGAACATTCCATCCACCTAGTGACACCCAACCCAACCTGAAGCAAACCACCAAAAAATGAAATAATAAAAATGGAATACAAATTTGATTGGCCGCGACAGGACACCGCAATGCAAACAAGCGCCGAGCACATGAGTAATTGGAATTGAAATATCTTGAAAATTGAATTCTATAAAATAGCACGTACTTATGACCCCTACAGTGTCTCTCCGTCTTGATGTATGTTGGAGTGTGTGCTTGCTTGTTTTGTCTACATGTGTGTGTGTGCGTGCGTGTGTGCGCGTGTTTTTTGTCTGTTTGTGTTTGTTTGTGTGCGTGTGTGTGCCACTTTGTGTGCCGGTTTGTGTGTTTGACTGTGCGTGTGTGTGTGTTTGGGTATTTTTGTTTGCGTGTGTATATATTTGTGTAACATTTTTTGTTAGTTTGTGTGTGTTTACAAGTGTTTGCGTTGATGTTGATGATGGAATGGGATTGGGAGTGTATTTGAAAAATTGGATTTGCATAATTTTTTTGAAGGTTGCATACACTTGCATACCAGTCGTAGAAATTTTTTATTAATCGTTAAACAATTGCTCTATGTTCTTTGCTGTCTATTTAATATAAATAAAAAATTGATTGATGTGGAATTTTTTTATATTTTCAATCGAAAAAAGGATATTAAAGGTCAACATCGCCAAAAATGCCCTGAAATATTATTATATATTTGTAATTTTTTCAAAGCAACATTGCGGGATGAATAACCTAGAATAAGGTAAAATAAGTAACGTGCCGCAAGTCAAGAAAGAACTCTACTACTGGGTTTAACTCTATACTTATATACAAACTTATATACTTATATATATATATATCTATATATATATATATATGTGTGTGTGTGTGTGTGTGTGCGTGTGTGTCTCTATGTGTTTGCATTATAACAATACTAAAGTACACGGCTTTTTATGTTGTATTCATTTTCTTTGTATAAAAGTTTTTGATTGTGACTTGAGTCACTTGCATTTAAACACGTTTATAAGAAACATAGTTTTTCGTTTTTTTACAACTTTAAATTTGTTCTCATAATGTTTATATTGCGTTTTTAATCAATATTTTTTATCCCTGCTTTGTTTATCTTGACAGCAAGTGTTATTGTACAAAGAAAGAAAAATCTTTATTTGCTTGGTATGTCATATGTGTGTGCTTCAAATCGGACAAATTCACACCCGTGAATTTGTCCGATTTAAATCTTTACACAACATGACTGTTGTGTATAGATTTAAATTGATGAAATACATTTTATAATTATTCTTCTAGATAATTTACATAAATCTAGATGAAAATAAAAGTATTTAACGTTGTTTTGTCCATAAAAACACGTAAAATAATGAAAGAAAGAGAAGAAAGAGGAAGGCTCATTTGATGTCGATAAATTTGAGATTGTGCGATGATTGTTTCAGAGCGTTCATCTGCAGTGCTGGCACGTTCCAAGCCTTTTGTGCACGCTCACATTTCTACCTTTTATTCGCAAATCATGTGGAAGAGTCTGTTGAAAATATATCAGTTATTTATACACGAGTGTACGTGTGCTTGTACGTGTGTGAGTTTTTGTGTGTGTATATGTATGTATGTGTGTGTGAGTGTGTGTGTGACTGTGTGTGTTTGTGTATGAGTGTGTGCGTGTAGGGAAAAAATTAAATACAATTAAAAATAATCGTAACATAATCTTTATTGAAACAATAATTTTTAGTTTTTATAATGAAGTAAAAACATAAAAAACACAAAATTTTATTCCGAACTCTGCGAAACAAATTTGTATCAGACAGCAAAATAACTTGAAAAACTGCAACAATAGAAACAGCAATCCTGTCTGGAAACAGCAATCCTACAATTTCTGAACCATAAACGAAGGCATGCATAAACATTAAGAAGAAACAAAATCATGTCTGTGTGACCGTGACCAGTAAACAAACGCGTTACGACGCAAACAAAAACATACACAAACATGACAAATAAACCAAAACATACCTAAACTTGACAAATAAACCAAAACATACCTAAACTTGACAAATAAACCAAAACATACATAAACTTGACAAATAAACCAAAACATATCAAGTAAACAAAAAAAAATATCTAAACGTAGTTAAACATTAGAGAAGGTTCATTTAGACAAGCACATGTCTTGTAGCGGGATGGGTCTTCTATAAATCATGCCGTCTGGAATTTATTCCTTTTACGTGAGGTGAGGAAAAATAATTTCGAAAATAAAATAAAAAGTAAAAAATAACTCGCAAATAAAACATTACTTACATAGTAGCATCTGAACGTGGTGAGAAGAAAAACTATTGAGGTTAAAATATGGTTCAATAAAAACGTGGTGTAAAAAAATTTGATGAAAATTTCGATAACAGTTCTTGAGAATAGTGAAAAATATTGATGATGTTTCTGACAACGAAGATATTAGTGATAGGAATAAAAAAGTAGAAAAAACATTTTCACTTCTAAATACAAATAAAATACTGCAAGATGGTTTTTGAGATTTGAAAAAATTGAAAAAATGAAATAGACTAATATTTAACCAGTTGACCAGCAACGACAGCAGTTCGTCATGCCTGCCCGTGTACCTTGCGAGAGACGTCGTAGAATCACAGTTCGAAACAACATGTTACATTTGTTTGGGGATGATTGCACAGTGGACATAGAAATGTTGTTCATGTGCCCCATTTAAATAAGTTTGCATTGGTGGGAAGCTGTTGCGTTAAATATTTTCCAATAAATTTATAGAGCACACCCGGTAAACCTTGAAGATCTTTAACCAAACCTTGGCGTTACTACTACTACTACTACTACTACTACTACTACTACCACTACTACTACCACTCCTACTACTACTACCACTACTACCACTACTACACTACTACTAATACTACTACCACTACTATTACTACTACTAACAATAATTGTTATATTAAGAATAATAATAATATTAAGAATAATAATAAAAACAATTATATGACATAACAATTATAGAGATGAACTTAGTAAGGCACTGACATAGTAATAAAAACGATGCCACTCATTAAGAAATATCGATAATAATTTATGCACTTGATAATTAATATGAACAGGAGCGTTAATGGAACAATTAAATAGACAAAATTGACAAAAGTAGTAATAGTAGTAGTTTGTAGTAGTAGTAGTAGTAGTAGTAGTAGTAGTAGTAATAGTCGTAGTAGCAGTAGTAGTAGTAGTAGTAGTCGTAGTAGCAGTAGTAGTAGTAGTAGTAGTAGTAGTAGTAGTAGTAGTAGTAATAGTCGTAGTAGCAGTATTATTATTATTATTATTATGAATGTTTAATAGGCGCTTTTTCAATCTTCTCAAAAACGCCATTAACTAAAAGTATCATTTGCTCAGAGAAAATAAATAAGCTTTCAATTCTTTTCGAAACTTTCCAAGGGAGACACCCGGATCACGTAAGTACTGTGGCAGACTATTCCAGATCGTCGGTCCTACAATAGAAAAATTACGTGATCCAATCTTCAATTTAGCAAAAGGAACTTTTAACAAATCTGAACAATCTGAACGCAGTCGAAGTCGATGCATAGGAATATCCCTCTGAACAACTTTATCTTGAAGGTATTTGGGAGCCAGGCCATTTCTGCATTTATAAACCATCACAGCAATTCTGAAAACAATTCTTTTTTCAACAGTTAACCAATGCAATTCACTCAAAATTGGGGTCACATGTTCAAACTTTGATGCACCTGTTACAATCTTTGCTGCTCGATTTTGTATTGACTGCAGCTGACTAATCACATTATTTGCAGTGCCGTAGAGCAAAACATTACAGTAATCCAGCCTTGAATGTACGAATGCATGCACCAGACTTTGTAATATGTGTCTACTTAACGACTTCCGGACAATTCTAAATCCACGCATATGATGATAGCATTCACTTGTAAGTGATTTAACATGGTCCTTCATCAATAGACTACTATCAAAAACTACTCCCAGATTGCGCACAGATGCACAAAAATCGATTGAATCACCACAAATATTAATTGATCCAATTTGTAATTTTGACAATTGCTGCCACGTTCCAACCTTCATAAGCTGAGTTTTACAGGTATTTAATTTAAGGCGATGCGTTTTCATCCAATGATCAACTTCACCAAGGCATAGTGCTAATTTATCAATCATGACTGGAAACGATGTAACATGACTAGTAGCAATAATCTGAATGTCATCCGCATAACCATGGCACTTAAAATTATGAT